GAATAATGTTGAATATCGTTTCATGTGTCTGTTAGCCATCTAGATGTCTTTGGAAAAGTGTCTATCCATGTCTTCGGCCCATTTCTTCACTGGATTCTTTGTTTCTTGGGTGTTGAGTTTGATAAATTCTTTATAGGTTTTGGATATTAACCCTTTATCTGGTATGTCATTTGCAATTATCTTCTCCCATTCCATCCATTGCCTTTTAGTTTTGTTGATTGTTTCATTTGTTGTACAGAAGATTTTTATCTTGATGAGGTCCCAATAGTTCATTTTTGGTTTTGTTTCCCATGCATCCAGATACATTTCTCTTAAGAAGCTGTTGTGGCCAAGGCCAAATAGGTTGTCACCTGTTTTTTCCTCTAGGATTTTGATGGTTTCCTGTTTCACATTTAAGTCTTTCATCCATTTTTAATTCATTTTTGTGTGTGGTGTAAGAAAGTGGTCCAACTTCATTCTTCTGCATGTCACTGTCCAGTTTTCCCAGCACCATTTGCTGAAGAGACTTTTTTCCATTGGGTACTTTTTCCTGCTTTGTTGAAGATTAGTTGGCCATATATTTGTGGGTCCATTTCTGGATTCTCTATTCTGTTCCGTTGATCCATGTGTCTGTTTTTGTGCCAGTACCATACTGTCTTGAACTACCTTACTACCCAGCAATTGCACTACTAGGTTTTTATCCACATGATACAAAAATGGTGATTTCAAGGGGCACATGCACCCCAATGTCTATAGCAACACTATCCACAATTGCCAAATTATGAAAGAATCCAAACATCCATTGACTGATGAATGGATAAAGATGATGTGCTATATATATATATATGTGTGTGTGTGTATATATATATATGTGTGTGTGTGTATGTGTGTGTGTGTATGGATATGTGATGGATATATGTGATATATGTGAATGGATAAAGATGATGTGCGCTATATATATATATGTGTGTGTGTGTATATATATACATATATATACACATACATATATACATATATATATACACACACACACACACACATACATACAGTGGAATCCTGCTCGGTGATGAAAAAGAATGAAATCTTGCCATTTGCAATAATGTGGATGGAACTAGAATGTATTATACTAAGCGAAATAAGTCAGGCAGAGAAAGACAAATATTATATGATTTCATTCATACGTTGAGTTAAAGAAACAACAGATGAACATAGGGGAAGGGAAAGAAAAATAAGATAAAAACAGAGAGGGAAGCAAACCATAAGAGACTCTTAACTACAGAGAACAAACTGGGGGGTTTTAGAGGGGAGGTAGGTGAGGGGATGGGTTAAATGGATGATGGGAATTAAGGAGGGCACTTGTTGAGATGAGCACTGGGTATTGTATGTAAGTGATGAATCACTGGGTTCTACTCCTGAAACCAATACTACACTCTATGTTAACTAACTTGAATTTAAATAAAAAAATTTAAAATAAAAAAGATGATAGATTGCCTGTCTTTTCAAAGAAGCAGTAATATAACCTACAAAAATTTATAGGTAAGAGCATAACATAATGGTAAAATATTGAATACATTTTTGCTTAGTTTGAAAGCATCACGACTTCTGTTCAACTTTGTTTGAAGTTCCTAGCTAATGCACTGTGACCAAAAAAAAAAATAATAATAATAATAATAATAATGAAATAAGGGGAACCTGGGCTGCTCAATCAGTTGGGCATCCAACTCTTGGTTTCTGCTTGGGTCGTGGTCTCACAGTCATGGGATCCAGCCCCATGTTGGGCTCTGTACTGAGTGTGGGACCTGTTTGGGATTCTTTCTCTTCCTGTTTCTCTGACTCTACCCTGTTTGCATGCATATGGTCTCTCCCTCAGAATAAATAAGGAAACCTAAAAAATAATAAAATAATGAAATAAAACTGCCTTTTGTCACAGGCAACTTGCTTGTATTCATAGAAAATCCAAAAGAATCAAGTCATATTATTATAAGTAATAAATTTAGCTAAGCCTAGTTTTAAGAACAATATACAAAGACCAATTGTATTTTAATTTGCTACCAATAAGCCATTAGAAAATAAAAATTTTAACCTATATATGCTACTTATAGTCAGTTCAGAAACATCAAATATGTAGGAATAAATCTATGAAAATGTGTATAAGACCTCTACACACAGAACTACAACACATTATTGACAGAAAGTAAGAGGGATCTAAACAAAGGGGTATCTGATGTTCATAGATTAAAAGATCAAAAACTATACAGATGTTAGTTATCCCAGAATTTATCTGTAGATCTAATGACATCATGAAAGTAATTCTAGGAGTGTGTTGGACTCTGTATGTGTGTGTGTGTGTAAATTTATGTAGAAATACAGAGATAAGAATCACCATCTTGAAAAAAAATCAAAGCTGGAGAAATTAAACTACTAGGATACTGAGACTCATTAAAAAGCTATACTAATTAAGACAGTATGGGATTACTGCTGTAAGAATAGACAAGTTGATCAATGGAAACAAGGCCAGAAACTGATCCACATATATAGTCACTTAATTTATAGTAAATCACTTCCTGTCTTCAAACCTCAGTTTCTTCATCTGTAATTAAGCTTAATAATAGTGACCACCACGTAAGGTTTAAATATTATATATCAAAGGACTTAGGGGCACCTTGGTGGCTCAGTTGGTTAAGCATCCTACTCTTGACCTTGGCTCAGGTCATGATCTCACAGTTTGTGAGTTTGAGCCCCGTGTCAGGCTCTTTGCTGACAGTAAGGAGCCTTCTTAGAATTCTCTCTCTCTCTTTCTCTCTCTCTGCCCCTCCCCCACTCATGCTCATTCTCTCTCTCAAAATAAATAAATAAACTTAAAGAAAAAAGACTTAGATGTTCTACTAAAGAGGTTAGCCATATGCAAGGGACATAGCAAGAAGGGCTTGATAAAATTTAGCCAGTATTAATATTACAGTTGTGACTACCTCTCTTACTATAATTACTACTACTTATTGTTACTGCTCATTTTCTCAGTTTTTCAGTACGATTATCTGGAAGTAGGAATGGGTGGACATTAAAGTGTGGTGGGCAACAAGCAACATTTGGGGCAACACAGAAAAGTAGGAGAGTGTCACTGCTCAGCCTACTTGGAAAAGCAATGGGATCAGGAAGATGAAGTTCCCAACCCTGATTGAATCAGGGTTGACTTAGAAACTAGAATGGGACTTGGTCTAACACCAAGATCATGTTGGCCACGCAAATGTGGGTCATTGGTAAACATTTATGAAGCTTCTAAAATGGACTTGTGTATAGATGTTTTGTAAGAATGTTTGAAAGCATGGGTATGTATATAAGCCATCTGTAAAGACACTAAGTAGGAATGAAGTCGGTTACCTCTTCTCCCACCTGGATCATAGCCAGGGATCTGAAAGAGAAGTTTAAATAGAATACTAAAAGAATTGATTTTTAAATGGAAAATTTATTTCGTAGCTTCTTTAGGTAAACCTGGATGTTCATTTTCAAACACAGGTCACAGAGTCTCTGAAGACAGGGAGATAATGATCTATTTAATTCTTTCCATATTCATATCCTAAACAGTGCCTCATATTTCACAAAGTGGGTTCCTGTTTTATAGTATGTGGTGTTATTTAGCTGAAAGCTTACCCACTCTTCTGGCTGTTTACCATCGCTAATCCTCCCGTATTCCAGCCCACATGGCATTTGCATCCTGTCTTCCTCTCCCACTGGCCCACTCACACCCCATTTCACTCATGGGAGAGAAGGCGCTGAGACCTTCCACTGCTTTAAGACACTTAAGCTGGCTGGTGAAGGACTGTACTCAGCAGCTCTGAATCCATTTCCTCAGTCTACTACTTCTGTTTGGATGACTGGAGATAAGATGATTTACCCCCTGAGTTTCATCTGCAACAAGGGATTGGTGTTGAAATAATGAAAGCGAAGCTCTTGGCAGTTTTTCACCAAGGTGAGAGTTGGTCTTGGCTATTATGATTATTATTATTGACAAAGATCACATAGCCAGGAGGCTCACACCCAAGTGTTTTGTTTCTAAACCTCATCTGCTTTTTACCATGCTGCCTGTAATTTGGCAAATCAGAAGATACAATTTGGTACCCAGTCTTCCCAGCTCAGTCTAGATTTGTTCAGGACCCTGCCCACTCCATTTCTGTAATTCAATTTAAGAGTACCAGCTGGAGGCACCTTTCCCCCAGTGCTGGCACTTGGTCACTTGATAAAACCTCCAGCTGGGCCCCCTTCTTGAGGAGGGAAAGGGGGAAGTGCCTTCTCACTCCTGAGAGTCTACCCATGGGCCTGGAATCATGGAAATGTACCTGCCTTGCCCTACAGGGAGCGTGATTCTGCCTGGGAAGTCCAGATTTGTCAAAGTGTAACCCTTCAACTGGAAAGTGTTTATCGTTGGGTACCTGCCACTTATAAGCTGCTCAGTGTCCATGAAGCTCACCAAATTACCCTAAGATACCTTTCTCTTAAAGAGGCTAGCTGGAGAAACTATCTGTGTAGTCTCTATCAGCAATTTTAATCTTTGTCAAGTCTTCATTTTAGATGTGTGTATTTTTCTAACAGTTTGATTACAGTCCAAAAGAAGGAATCTCTTGCCTTTGACTTCTAGATCTCCACATTACTTAAATAGTGCTAGTTGACAGGACTTACTGGGGGAAAACTGGTAGTGACAGCTCACAAGGACATAGGCTCCTCCAGTTAAATTCCTGCAATGCCTTCTGTCCTGGGTCCTCTACAAGTAAATAGGTGTCTTTGAGTTCTCTCACTGAGTGGCTCTAAAACATTGTGTTGGAGACATGTTTCCTTATTACTATGAGATCCTTTCGTCCACCCAGGCTACTTGGCTGATCCTTAGAAAAGGACACAGTGCTGGAAGTGCATTCTGAATGAGACAGGGGTTATGGGTAGAGTCCCGTAAATCAGGAGGAAGAGGAAACTGAATTGCCAAAAGAAATATTATCATCCTAATAAAACGAAGCACATGATTTGCATTCCAGGTCCTTCAACTATTCTATGGGAACCCGGGCATTTTCCCATGACAGTATTTTTATCCCTGATGGGGGAGCAGAAAGTGAGCAGACAGTTCAAGCAATGTCACAGGACAACATCCTGGGCAAAGTCAAAACTCTTCAGGTAAGACAGCTTGAGATTGGAAAGTCAGAGCCATAGGAGGGGCCCCAGCTATGGCGGGAAGTGGGAGAATCCCCAGAGTGGCCTTGAATAATGGATCGGGAGGACCAGGGGTAGTTTCTAGTGAAAAATTTTGCCTTCTCAAACCTGATTCTGTTCTCGGGAAGCCTTCCATCCAGCTGTGAGAGGTACATTGTCACGTGTACCCACCTGTACAACACCCTCTCTCCTTTTCTCTCAGGCTGTTCCTTCACTTTTAACTTCATATCATGAGGATAGGTACCCAGGAGAAGCTGTAGGACTTGGGGGGAGGGTAGAGTTGGGAAATCAACCATTAAATGTTGGCCATAATCCTAAGCACAGGGTTGACTGTGAGCTGAGGGCATGCACAGCAGGTCTCCATCCTTGGACAGTGAATGGTGAGACTATTATTTACTGTACTTGTAAATCTGGCTCCCTCTCAGCCGCTGTGTCTTGGAGGAATGCCAAGAAGCTCTTAAACCTCCCTCCTGGTCACACTGCCGAGTCCAGCAACTTTTTCTACATAAAATTGACTCAGGTGGTCACTTCTTAATAATGAAAATATAGTAAAATAATTATTCACTAAATGTGATTGAGATCATGGGAAATCTAGGAGAAGCAAGGGGAGCAGACACCCGGGATCTAACCATGCAGGTTTGCCTGATAGCTTGGTAGCATCCACTCCCCTGACAGACACGCCTAAGCAAGCACTTCTCTGAGATGGGAGAGCCTGGAGGCGATCCAGATTATGAACAGGGGACTGGGGTTTGCTGGTTTCCATCTGTCTGTAGGTCTACAATAACAAATGTATAAATGAATGAAAGAGCAAAAAAAAAGGAACAGCTAGCTTGAATAGCTGCCAATACAATGAAGCATTATACTCAAAGGAAATTTTCTATTTTCTTGAAATGTTCTTGTTTCTACTGAACATTAGCTATGCGTTTTGTGACCTGTGTTTGATTACATATCCACACACACTCAGCTGAACACAGCATATGGCAGGCAGAGAAATAGCCCACACCCTGGAACCACACCCAGACTTGTGTAGATCTTTATACCTACTGCCAACCATTGCCCAAGGCTGTCATCTTGTCCTCAGAGCTAACCTAGGTGCTTCCTTCAGTTTCCAGCATTTCCAAACCAGTTTCCGTTGTCAGTTCTTGCTGGCTATGCTGCTCCATATTTTATAGACTCAGAAGAAAAAAGAAGCTGTCACTTCGCACAGGTTGGAGAAGAGAAAGGGGTGGTGATTGCCAAAGAAACCCTTGATGCCACCTCCTTTACCTTTCCTTCTTGAAGTCTTTTGGTTCCTGGAATATTATTCTTAAGAAGTTCCTAACCCCTGCCTCATAATATCCCCTTTCCAAGAGGAGTGACTTACAGGGTTCAGCCCATGAAACAGGTGTACTTTATAAGGACTTTTGAGGAGTTCTTTAAAAATTTGATAATAATGTGTTGTCTTAAATGATGTCTGTTCTAACATCACACCGCGTGCCACTGCCACTCCAGGAAGTGGATTTGGAGTTGTAAAAAATACACAGCTCTGCACTACTGAAACTCAATAAAAAAGTATGTGAGTGCCTCTTATTCCTGTTAACACTGTGAGGCACAAGTTTAAAGAATCTGATCTCGCAGTTAAAATGTAAAACAACCAACTTCCCTAAAGCAACAGTTCTTTTAACAACAGGAAGAAAAATGTGAGTAAAGCAGAATAACTAATCGGAGTGCGTTCCTTTGGACAATCTGCTCCTACGAGGTCTGGCTAATTTTGCTTCTGCTGTATGGGTTCACAATCTGCCCTACAGCTCAATGGTTATATTTTTAAAACATTAAGAGGCTTTGCTCTTTGAGGAGGGAAATGGGGACCGTTATCATAGAAAATGTGATTTTTGGAGTGACATAAGATTTAATTGTATCACCCCCAAAAGACTGTGCTTTATTTTTCAGTCGACTAAGCAGTATGTTCCTGGTAAGTCATAGAAATAGTAGTTGACTTTATTAACTTGCATGAATGCTTTGCATTTTTCCATGACAACGTTATGCTGGTATTGATGCTTACTAAGCAGCATAAGACACCGCCCCCTCCTAGACTCCAGCATGGAATGAGGGTGTTTAGTTATGTCAGAGGCATGTATGTTTTTTATGTCTGAAATTGTCTTTGTGTATGTACGTATCTTTATGAAAAACAGAGAAGAGTTATGGATAACACCTTTTTGACAGTAGATGTCCTGGCAAGCTGATTAGCCACCATTATCAGGACATTCTTTTAAAGTGAGATTTCTCTTGGAATGTCACTTAGAATAAAAAGAGAAAAAGCCATTTTTCTCTGGCCTAAGAAACTTCCCGGCCCTTGGAAACCCAAGAACCGTGCCTGCACTGACTGTTTGGAAAGGTTGCCCTCTAGTGTCCACACGCAGTCATCCCAGCTAGGCTGCCCTGTGTTGCACCATGGTGGTTTGTATCTCTCTGTTGAGTACAGAAGGACTGAATGCAGCGGAAAATTAGCCTGCACTTTTCTGAATAAAGTGAATCTATCACCTGCCAAAATTTCTGTGGCAAATGACTGAATCTTTAAGAGAAAAATTACTCTTTTGAGTATAAAAGTTAATACATGTTTGTAGGGAGAACAAATTCTAATTATAGGGACAAATTCTAATATACAGAACAAATTCTAATTATAGGGACAAAAACAACAGTGGTGCCCTTTTTGAAGACCCTACACATAACAGTCAGCTGTCCCATGGCCAATGGGTGAAATAAAAAGCCTGTGCCAAGCCTCCACCACCACCTGGCTGTGTGGCCTGCAGTGAAGTCATTTAACCTGTCTGAGCCACATTTTCCCCATCTGAAAAATAAGGGGATGACGATGCTGAATGATCTGGCCCCTCCATTTCTTAAAATTTGCCATCTATACGAAGTCACGGCTTACCTGCTATCGCATGGAGTGGTTTGCTAAGCTTCACACTTCATTGAATTTGGAACGCAATGACCTTGACATTCCTTACAGCTGTCCAGAGCACGGATCAGGGAGGTTTCTGTTTATTTCAGATCAGACCAGGCTATGAAATGTCTAACAACTGATGATAAAACTTGGGTAGGAGCATCATACTCTAAGCCTGCAGGCGATTTTTAGACTTATACCACACCTTTGTAAGAAAATGCTAGTAATTCTCTTAGCCCATGGACTATTTATTTAGTCCAGGAGGGAAAACCTCCATTTTCAGTAGCTGCTGTCTCCTGCTGAGCTAGATTTCACTTTAAAAACACCTAAGTGTCATATGTTTGAGGATTTTAACACCTTATGCAGCTGTCAAGGACACAAAGAATAAATACCTGCTCTTAGCCATGTCTGCGTAGAGCAGATGTCTTTAAATCTATATTCTTTCTTCTTTTGCCTCTTTTAAAAAATTCATTTTAACTATGGGTGAATCTGTAGTTCACTCAAGGAGACAGCAACTTATTTCTTCCTCTGCCTTTGTCCTCACAGACACGGTCTGAAGGCTGGCTGTGAAAAATCTGGGGGAATCTAAATACTGGCAGTGTGAGAGCTGCAGAATATGATGTGCTTGGAATTTCCACACCATAGGAAAAAGCCTCATAAATATGGATGTGCATTCCTATAACATCATCCTCTGACATTCCATATTACAACTAAATGGCCCAATTTGAATGAATAAAATATAGACCCTTTCAGCTCACATTCCAGTCCTAACAGTCACCCCATTCACAGCCACAAGCAGCATGGATGTTAGGATAGGCAGAGCATTCTCTCTTCCCTGGTTGTAATTGTAGTGTATATAAAGAGCCCGTGGGTGTTAGACAAAGGTGGAGGGGAGTGGTAGTAGTTTATAAGGGCAAGCTCCATCAGCACAGTCTGGTTTTCAGTGACTGCTTCTATCAAAGTTTCTCTCATGACAATGCCTGAATAATGGGCAGAGTTAAAGTCACAAAAAAGTCACATTGATCCCTATAGTCCAGTCACATGACACCCAAGATTGCCAAGTAGGTTTTAGCAGTCACCTTTTAATTGTCAATAAATCACACAGTGTCTCAACGGCCCTGTCTCCTTTGAGTCCGCTGAAGGAAGCATTTGGAGCAGGAACTGCAGGGAAGGGAAAGCATGCAGGTGCAAGAGTCTCAGCCTTGAGAACCTGAGGATCAGTCACCATGGCCTTGGACCCTAAGTCTTACCCTGGCCTTGCTCTATGGTCTCATCCCTGACAGCTGCAATGGTGTCTATGAAGACAGTCCTTTGTCTGGGCAGAGAGGCTACAGCCGTGTCCCTAAATGTAGCCAGCATTTCTTTGATGACCTGGGTCCTCCCCACCTCCATCCCCCTAAGCTCCCAGCCACCAGTCTGAATTTATTTTTTCTAGAAGGATTTTAAATCAGCAGCTTCACAGAAATGCACACCGTTATTCTCAAAAGCAACAGCATTGTGTTTCTTTTGCCAGGATGAACATATTTGTGACATAAATCATTGTCATTGCCTCCCTCCCTCTCTCCTTCCCTCCCTTCCTCCCCACCCTCAGCTCTTGTACCTGCAGCCAGGTCCACACCCCTCCTCTCTATGCGATTCCTCTGCACCTGCACCTTCCTCTCAGTCGGCCTCTTGTATTTCATTCTCTCCTTCATTTCTTAACATCGCTCTCTTCGTTTCTCAGCCTTGTCCCATGTGCCTTATTTCTCCTGTTCTTTTTCCATCTATTTCCTGTTTTCATTTTCTTGTAGCTTTTTCACTGGTTACCATAATAGCCATCCCATCTTTGGAATTTACTTCCATCAAGACTGCAGTTACATTTTGTCATGCTTGTTTGTCTTATAAGCGTCAGGGTGGACCAACATCAGTATCTTAAAAAGTGCCCTTATGAAGAAAAATATCAGCATATTCTTTTTTTGTGTGTGATGGTGGCAAAATAATCCTAGCTAATTGGCATTAGAGTGTTAGGCCAGGTTCTCCTTGGAAGCCCATTCAAGAATTATTCTTTCTGTTATAACCAGAAGAAATAATGTCATCATTCAAGAGCATTGAGAGATGGTAGACCCTGACAACGGGAGGTCTCAGTCTAAGGGATTTTACAACACTTTCTAGCCCCTGGCCAGCACTCCTAGAGAAGGGATAACTGGTAAACCAAAGTCTGGGCTGGGCATCCCAGAGGGAACTCCTGCTGAAGCTTTCACTAGGACCCAGGAACCATGCCACCTCTTCCGTCCAGGTCCCTATCCCTCTCCCAAAGGTCAGCAGAGTAAGCCGGGCCTGTGACTTTGTTACACTGTGTTTTCTTGTCTAACTCCATCGGCTGCTCTAACCATGCCTGCTGATTGATCTGCTTAGAGAGTAGATACTAACTGCCGCTTCCTGCTAAACTTGTTTTGAGAAGACACCCTTCTTTCAGCCTTTCTCCTCCCTGAAACCCGTTTAGGCTGCTCAAGCTGTTCTTCACTGGCTGAATTCAGGCTTTTGATGTGTGCTCCTTCTCTGTGGTGCCCGGGGGTCCAGGCTCAGGCTGAAATACCAGCAGATCAAATACAAGTCCTTTGTCTTTCTGTGCTCCTGATTTGGCATGCCGGGGTGCCCTGGGGATGTGGGCAGGGGAGTCGTGGGCTCACCTCTTCCATGTCTCTGCAACCTCACCGTCCACCATGCAAGGCTGAGGGGCAGCTGGGCACGAGAGAGTGGATTTGGTACCCTTGAGTTCAGAGGACAAAGGGGGAGTTCGCTCGTGGGATTCCCCTGCCAGGGAACTTCAACAAGGTATTAAGAATGCTGCGTCCTCTTTATTTCTGCCCCTACAAGAAAGAAGCATGATGTCAAATTTGTGAGAACCTGTGGAGTGCAATGCAAATAATGCTGAATATGGTTTTAGGAGATCTAGATTCAAATCCCTTTTGGGCCACTCATTCTTTCCATAAGCTTGGGCCAGTCACCTCTCCCCACTGGGTCTCTGACAGTTTTTGTCAAATGAGGGGTTTGGACTATGGGATTGCTAATGCTCTTGGCAGCTCTATGGGATTAAATATTAGCCAAATTAAAGATAAATATCAAATAATGCATTTTTTCTTCCTTTCTTTTCTTTCTTTTTCTTTTCTTTTTCCTTTTTGAGGCATAACAGGACTATGAAGCCCAAGTACCTAGATGTAGAGCCGTAGCTCTCAGCCAGAGGCAATTTTACCCACCTCTGGAGACATTTTTGGATGTCTTGACAGGGAAGGGATCGCTACAGGCATCTAGTGTCCAGAGGCCAGGGTGCTGCTAAACATTTTACGGTGCACAGGCTGAGCTCCCCACACAAAAATCATCTGGCTTATAATGTCAGTAGTGCCAAGGTTGAGAAACCTGCTAGAGATGAAGGCAAGAGTTTCCATAGTATATTAAATCCAGTAGTCTCTCAGGTGGCCACGGCATGCCCTTTCTTCTTCCTGAATGTCGTTTATTGTTTTCTGCTGCAGCCCATTAAATAGTTTGCCCTTTCTTAAACTGTTATATTTATATTTCTTTCTTCAGGGAGTATATTTTCTAATCTGGCTTTTCTTTAATTCTACATACTATTTATCGTCCCCATTTCCATCACCTGTCCCTTCCCTCCCCCCGCCAAACACACACCCCCCCATCTATCTACCTGCCACCAGTAACAAATCTGTCCGTGGCCCTTTCCTTCTGACTACTTCTCTGTCCTTTCCCCATTGGGCTCCTTCTGCCCCACAGTTCACAGAGCCTAGCTGCAGCAAGGCAAAAAGAAGTCCTAGTGGCAGGGCAGGACTATTCCTGTGCCTCCCATGACTTTGGCATTGATCATGGAAAGGCTTGCCGACGTTGGGGCCTTCTTCACCCTGGTGCTCACTGTGACCGGAACATGATGTTCAAGCGAGGGGCTGATGAGGAAGGTGGCTGATGCATAAACATTCAACAGGAATGTGTCCGAGAGAGGCTGGAGGGTTCCCTTGCTGCAGCAACCACAAGAGTCTTGATTCCCTCACTGGTTACTGCATTTCACGTAATTATATTCTATATGATTTTTATATGTTTAAAAGACTTCCTTTAGAAATAAATTTATAGGTTAATCGAAAAACTTTTGTCATAACATATATCCCAACTTTTGGTTCAGAAATAATGGGCCCTCTACCCCCTGGATAATGTTGGCATCTCCATGAAAGAGGTGGCTGGATGAAAAAGCTCATGGCTTGAAGATGGGGAAAGAAAAGAAAAGAAATTGGAAAACAAATCACTTATTACAGGACTGCATCAGGCTTACTGGCATGGTATTTAGTCTAGAAACGTTGTGCACAGAATATGCCTCACTGCCTACTAGATATGCTGGGGTATCTGGTTGTACTTATTGTGAACTGCTTCACTGCTTCAGAACGTCTTTCTTTTGTTTTTCTCCAGCGACAGTTGAGCAAAAACATCAAGTTTGGGCAGCCACCACCCAATGCCATTCCCATGAAGAAGGCAGACAGTGGCGAGGCTAGCTTAGAAGAGGATCTGTTCCTGACCAGTCCCATGGAAATTGTGACCCAGGAGGACATCATCCTGTCAGACACCGAGAACAAAGTAAGGCCCCTCCTGGGAATGACTTGTTGCTAACACATGTGGGGAGGACGTCAGGCAGTGAACTGGGGCGTCTGAGAACTCTCGGGTCTGCGGTACAGGGAGTATGCGGCAGAAGCTTTTCTGATGAGTCGCCCGGGGCTGCAGGGCACTTCCTGGTCAGGTGCCGTGATCTACAGTGGGGTCCACTTGGAGGAGGGGGAGGAAGAGAAGACATGACCTTTGCATGTGCTCTTCACAGTGCTTTCCACTCACTCCTCAAGACTCAGGTTGGCTCACCTCATCGGGGATGCCGGCCTCACCCCCGGGCTGTGCTGTCTCCTCTGTGCCTTTGCTGTGCATCCTTACTGCCTCGTCCACATCCATACTCATCTGTGTCCACATAATTGTTTTCTCTCCACCTCTGAATGTTGAGTTCCTTGAGGACAAACTGGATCTTATACATCTCTGTCTCCCTCGGATGTAGCTAGTGTTTAATTAGTAGCACTGAATAATTTCTTGTCAAATTGGACTAATTTCAAGGGAAACAAGAAAGAAGTAGGTGCTTAACAAGATAGTACACATCAAACAGGCTAGCTTGAACTCTGCTTAATGAGGAAAGAAAGTCACATTGATCCAGCATTGTCTTACCTAGATTTGGTCTTTTGACACTCAGAAAGAAACACCATGAGCATATCCTGGAATGAGAGTCCTTCCAGCAGCAGAAGGGACCCTCTCAGGCCTCTAGTGGGGAAGGAGGAAGTGGCCCACCAGTAGCTGGAGCAGGGAGCTCTGCTGCATCTGCCAGTCTTGGTAGAATGCATTCTTTGTGCTCTGCCTGCCAAGGTGCCTGAAATTACACTGGATGTTATTAAAATGGACGTGGCCCCAGAAGTCATGCTTGTTATCAGCTAATATGTCATCAGGGCAGTAAGAAAGAGAAGTGATTAACAGAGCAGAGTGAAGAAGGAAAGAACAGGCTGGTACCCCGCTGTTGCCCACCTCAGCCTGGTCCTCATGACTCCTGGTTCCCACACAGGCGAGTGGTGGGCAGTGTGGTGGGTAAAGTATAGACTACGAGGTCCAAAACCACTCTCTCCAGCCTTTCAGCGTGAGGCGGCAGCAACAGCTGTCAGCCTTAATGCAAGGATTGCCCAAGGACTGAGGCAAATGTCCTCACTGTTACTGATGATCTAATACTGCAAGGGGCCATGGTCTGAAGGAGGAGGAGGATCATTGGTTCGGCAGGTGCTACCCCAGCTGTGGATATTACAGAGATGAGCAAGATTAGGGATGCTTCCGCGTGGTTTATACTTTTTAAAATTTTTTATTTTTGAGAGAGAGAGAGAGACAAAGTGTGAACGGGGAAGGAGCAGAGAGAGAGAGAGAGAGACACAAAATCTGAAACAGGCTCCAGTGTCTGAGCTGTCAGCACAGAGCCCAACCTGGGACTCCAACTCACAAACCGTGAGATCATGACCTGAGCCAAAGTCAGGTGCTTAACCAACTGAGCCACCCAGGCGCCCCTGCATAGTTTACATTTTAATGAGAAGAAAGTCAGGTAGCAAGTCAACAGATATGTATAAAGATGATAACTTATTTAGTAAATATTATAAGTATAATAACTTTGGATCAAGAAAAATGCTGCACAGGAAGTAAAACAGAGTGGTGGAAAAGTGAGCAATGTGGAGGGGGAGAGGTTGCTCTTTAGGTAAGGAGGTCAGAGTGGCCATGACAGGCCTGGCCATGGAAGCTATGTTCTAGATGGAGGGAAGAGCAAGTTCGGAGGCCCAGCATGGGACTGAGAGTGTCCTACAAGAAAGCAGGTCGGTGTGGCTGGCCCGACCATGGTGGGGGCAAAGGGAGGATAGAGCGAGGTATAGAGGCCAGAAGATACAGACCACGGGAAAGGGGTAATTCTATTCTGAGAGTACTAGAAACCTCTGAGTATTTTAAGCAGGACAATGACATAATCTGATTTGTGTTTTCCAAAGATGCTTCTAAGTGTGGTGCAGAAATGAGCTGAGGCAGGACAAGCTGCTATTATTGCTCTGGAAGGGATGATAAAGCTGTTTGTAAACATTGGCCACACAAGGTGGAAGGTACATCGGGCCATCAGAAAGGTGCAGGTGACATAGTGTGGGAGTTCCCAGGGCAGGTGAGGTGACTGGGCTAGGGATCTGTAGCCTTTTTTTTCTGTTCCGAGGGTTGATTTTGCCTCCTCTGGTCATACACCTTCTTGGCCTAGACCTTTGAGTGTGGGATTGGTAGGGCCTTTGTTTTTTCTAAGAGGTCTGTCATAGAGGTAAAAGGTCCAGCAGGTGAAGGGGGTTGAAGGCAGTGAACACAGCCCACAGCTCTCAGGCTGGAGGCCAGATGTGTGACACAGCCCTGCTTCTCAGGTGGGGTGGCTGGCGGGCGGCACCTGGACTCTCTCAGCAGTGGGGAAGCACATCAAGGACTCAGGTTAGACACACTCAGATGGAAATGTGTTGAACTCAGGAAAGGAGGAAAGTGCATATTCTGTGCCTCAGTGCCTCAGCAGTCCTTGTCTGGACACTAGCAGAGTCCCCACTGTGATTCCTGCCTGCTCTGTAAAGCCAGCTGCGGCCCTTTCCAGGCACAGCCCGCATCTGGTTATCTGCCCAGAACTTCCTGTTCTGGCGTTTGACTTGAGGGCTCTCTTTTCTATTCCAGCCCAGTGATCCGCCAAGTTCTCTGAGTCCTCTGAATCTGCCTGGAGCCAGAAGTGAGATGGAAGAGAAGGTAATATGATTTGAAATTACGTTTTTAGCTTCTTTACTTGAACTTCCATTTCCATCCTCTCTCCCCTTTTTTTTGACCTGCTGTCTCATTTTTTCCATTCAAAAATGCTGCCTTCATCCATTGCCTTAAATTCCTTAGAAACATAGCCAGTGTAGATGTAGTGTCTGTTTCCATGGCAGCGCACCTGCTGGCGCTGAACCCTGTTGTGAAAAAGAGCCACCTCCCAGCATGTGCATATTTGAACACTTACACATTGGTCATTTTCTTAAATGTACCAGGTACTTCAAGATACTGTTTAGCCATTGAAAAAAGACATTCCAGAACACCTGAAGGTACCCAAGTCTGTAAGGAAAAAAGTCTGGTTCTATTTAGAAATGCAAAATAAGGGGCACCTGAGTGGCTCAGTCGGTTGCATGCCTGACTGTGGATTTCAGCTCCGGTCAGGATCCAGGTCAGGGTCCCGGGCTCGAGTCCCATGTCAGGTTTCATGCTGAGCATGGAGACTGCTTGAGATTCTCTCTCTCCCCCTGTCCCCTACTCACGCTTTCTCTCTGTCTCTGAAATTAAAAAAAAAAAAACAAAAAAAAACCTTAGAGATGCAAAACAAAGAGGTCTTAGGATTTTTCTACTTGTATGTGTTTTTGTTTTTTTCTTTTTTTTAACTTTTCTGTGTTCTGTTGAAACCTGGGACTGTGCCTGCAGGAGTCCAGGGAACCCTGTGGAGACTGTGCATCCCTCCAATAGAGGCCAGTCCACTCCTAGGAGCACTCTTCGTTTGCACAAGGGCGCAGGAGTCCTCCCGGGTTCTGCTACAGTGAGCAGAGTATGTCCTGAGTCTTCTGAAGGGGATGGCTCCAGACAGCGCCACCACCCAGACAGAAGAAACCCAGCTGGAATGAATAGAAATGAAACCTTGCATTTAAGTCTCAGCTCCAAGTGCTTATCTTTGCCTTCAGTCTACCACATTTGGCTCTAACTCCTTTTATTCATGTGTCTATTAAGAGATGGAAATAAATGTTTAATTTATCTCTTCTCAGCCACAGTTTAGAGTTTGATACCTATTATAAAGATAACCATAAATAAATAAAAGCCAGGAGCCCAAAGGCTGGAATTATTTTTCCTTACTACTAAGCATCCATTCTGCTCTTGAGCTGGCTTGTCCCTTTGTCTTTTGTGCATAAATATGGAAAATAATTGCAAAAAGCAAAGCCGTCAGCTAAACCCCACTGGCTCTGCACTTAGAGCATGAATGCCGACACATGAACCCTGGCCTCTGTCAATGCCACTATGCCTGAGAGCTGCTGGCACCAGACCCACAGATGGGGCCGCGAGCGCCCTCTGTCGCATGTTGCCGTGGTGTGGCTGGAAGCCCTCACCTTGCTTCTTGCCTTTCTTTAAATGCTCAGTGGTTACAGGTGTGTGGGCCCTGGGTTGAGGCTGAGCTGCCGTCTCTCCGACTGATCTGCAGGTGTACAGTTTGTCTGAGGTGGTGGCTCCTAGTGCGTGCCATCTGCATTACAGCGCTGCAGTTGTGCCGTGAGGACCTGCCCTTTCCCCTGGGCGTCACAGCTCTGCCAAGCCTTTTTCTGCCACTCAACTCCGTGTTCTGTGGCTTGGAGTGAGTGTGCTAGAACGTTTTTGCAGGTAGCAGTTTCATGCCCGAGGCACAGATGCTATACTTTATTGTTCCTTCATTCCTCCAAAAAATATGTACTGAGCACTTGCCAAATGAGATTTGCTCCTTGGGTGGAGAGGGGACTCACGTTCCCTCCTTCAGAGGGACTCAGGTAGAGACTGAGGGACATTTGCAGGTGTCTGTGGTCATGTCTTAGATTATAGAGTCCTTAGTATAGAGAGGAGCTAGTCCAGGGCTCAGCAAGCCATGATTGATTTTAAACTGTGTGGCCCTAAGGTCCAGACTGGATACCTTCCTTTGTTTTGCTCTGCCTGTGTAGCACAAAAGCCGCTGCAGACAATGGACGAGGGGTGTGGCTGTGTGCTGGCAAAACTTTATTTACCAAAACGGGCTGTGGGCAGGCTTGGGCCTCCTGGCTACGTTTGTCAACCCCCTGGTCTAATATGACCCCCAACCCATATTATTCAGAGTAGGAAAATTAGTTCCTGTAAGGTTAAATGGCTGCTATGAGTTAATGGAAAATCATCGGCAGAACAAATAGTCAACGTTCTGTTTTTAATGCCAAAAGCAGTGCTCCTCTCTCTGTCCTAGTGAGCCTGCCGCCTCTCCTCGCAGCAGCCCCGGCGCCGGGCCCCCGCAAGGGCTGCCATTCCAGGACTCCCCGCACAGTGTTCTGATCTGGACTGACTCTGCGGTGTAATCTCCACTACAGGTGGCTCCAATTAAACCATCTCGGCCAAAAAGGCACTTCTCTTCTGCTGGAACCATCGAAAGTGTCAACCTAGATGCCATCCCCCTGGCCATCGCTCGTCTGGACAACAGTGCTGCCAAGCACAAACTGTCCGTTAAGCCAAAAAACCAGAGGGTGTCAAAGAAGCACAGGCGACTTGCCAGGGTATGTAGCACCCAACCCAGCTGACCAGGCAGATGCCCTTGCTTGCTGGGCACTGATTCTACCAAGGGGCGGGAGATGGGGTGTGGGGCCCATAGAAGGAACTAAGTCTCTCCCATCAGGGACTTGGTGTGTTGCAGTGAACGGGGCGAAGCAGGCCAGTTTACTTTCCATCACGCTTTCTGGTGTGTTGCCTGCCTGGGGGCAGGTGGGCCTCGGAGCGAGGGGCTGCCTTTTGAGGGGCTGTAGACAGTGTGCATTTGCTTTGCCAGCTCTCCTTCCATGGCTCAGCCAACGATTCTTCAGTTTGGCTGGTGTGGACTTTGAAGTCACACATTTCAGGGGACATCGATGAAATGCAGCTCTCATTTATTCTCATCTTTCTAATCCCGGACTCTTGGTTTTCCTGTGGTTATTCATTTGTATTAAGCAAAGGGAATTTGAGAATGACCCATAAAAGGTCTGTGGTGTAAGCATGAACGTGAGGTGTTTTCCTCCACTCTCACAATTTACTCCTGGTGTGCTCGCTTGGGTGGACCTATCTCTATACTTAGGAATAATGGACCCTTCTCTTGAGATTAAGAGGGTCACCGACATTGTGAAGAAGGTGGGTAATGGCTGCCTGTACAAAAGGAAAAGGCTAATTAATTCTCTTGTCCTTACCAATGTTAGGACCGACTGCAGGAACAAGGTGGCCTCCCGGGCCAGCTGTCCCTGGACCAGAACGGACACCCCGGAGAAGACAAGCCAATCTGGCATGGAGAGGAGCCGGAGCTGCTGGACTCCGAAGAAAAGAGATGCCAAGAAGAATACTGGCTAGAACTTGAGGCCAAGTGCAAACGGCAAAAGGCCGAGGTGGCCGAGAGGAGACGACTGGAAGAGCAGAGGCTCCAGGCCCTGGAGAGGAGGCTCTGGGAAGAGAACAGAAGGCAGGCGCTCTTGGAGGAGGTAGGGGAGGAGGAGGAAGGAGAGGAGACAGAACTACAGCTGGAGGCAGAAAAGAGACAGCGCCAAGGGGAGAGGCAGAGACCGGAAGGGCCAGGTGGCCAAGGCCAAGAGCGGAGAGAACAGGAGGAAGGCAGGCACCTGGGGGCCCAGGAGCAGGCGCCACGCGCGCAGCAGGAGGAGCAGGCCTTGCGGAGCGGGCTGGAGGCTGCGGAGCAGCGGGAGGAACAAGAGGAAAGAGAACTGAAGGAGCTCAGGAGGCAAGAGGAGCTGGAGGAACAGAGGCAGCGGGAGGCCGAAGAGCAGCGGCAAAGGGAGGAGGAGGAGCAGCGGCAAAGGGAGGAGCTGCTGCGGCTGGAGGAGCAAGAGCGGCAGAGGCGGGAAGATGAGGAGCAGCGAGAACGAGAGGAGCAGCGGGAGCGGGAGGAGAAGCGGCGGGAGGAGGAGGCAGCGGCAGAGAGAAGGGCGGAGCTGGGAAAGCGGGAGGAAGGGGAGGCGCAGAGGCGGCAGGAAGCGGAAGCGGAAGGTCGGGAAGCCGCGAGTGTGCAGGAGGAGCGGTGGCAGCTGCTGGACGTCGAAGAGAGCTCGAGGAGCCCGCTTCAGGTGAACTTTGCAGAGAAAGCAGGCAGACGAGAGCAAGAGAAGCAAAGAGAACACGCCGAGGAGTCCGGGACTTGCGAGAAGCAGAGCCAGGAGGCCGAGCCATCCGGAGAGCAGCAGGCACAACGGGATTTTCCCGGGTATGGTCGTCGCGTACGCCAGGAAAAGGGACAAGAAGCCAACACGCAGCCTCCCCAGAAACCAGAGGCGAAGGTAGAAGAGACGCTGGCTGCCGTGGAGAAGAAAGAAACTGCCACTCCAGAAAAGGACAGAAAGGTGGAGGAACTCCGGTGGCAGGAAGTGGATGAGAGGCAGACCACGCCCAGGCCCTATACCTTCCAGGTGTCATCCGGAGGGAGGCAGATTCTCTTCCCCAAAGTCAATCTAAGCCCAGTGACGCCCCTGAAGGATGCGGGACCTGCCTATGCCCCCCAGGAGCCGAAGACCTCCAGAGCCAGCCCAGCCCCCCACACCCTGCCCTCTTCCCTGAGCGTCCCCCATACAGCCATTCTGGTCACGGGAGCACAGCTCTGCGGCCCTGCCGTCAACCTGAGCCAGATCAAGGACACAGCATGCAAGTCTCTCCTGGGCTTGTCAGAAGAAAAGAAGCACGTCGATGTCCCTGCCCTGGAGAATCCACCCCGAGCATCCGTCGACCCCCGGGCAGGCAGCGGGAAGGCCAGGCCCCCCCAGGATTCTCCGAGCAGTGTGGCTGCACTAGCCGAATGGGCTTCCATTCGGTCCAGAATTCTGAAGAACGCAGAGAGTGAGCAGCGCGTCGATAGAGACCAGTCTCGTCCAGGTGATGAGCACACGCCCAGGGGCCGATGTGATTCCCGCGGGAACCTCCGGAGGACCCCCCCAGTCAATGCAAAATTCTCTATTATGCCTGCTTGGCAGAAATTCTCGGATGGTGGTACCGAGAGCGCCAAACAGAACACAGAAGCAGAGAGCATTAGAAAAAGACCTGCACTGGGACCCAGTGATGGGTCAGCGCCCCAGCCCCTGGCTGCTAATGAGCACCCAAAGGGTGCTGAGAAACTGGAGCCAGCAGATAGCACAGAGGGATGCAAATTTGCCAAAGACCTCCCATCTTTCCTTGTTCCAAGCCTTCCTTACCCTCCACAGAAAGCAGTGGCCCACACAGAGCCCATGATCATTTTGGACAGTGAGACCATCAGTGGCATAGGAAAGGCAGACGCCGCAATGCCTGGTCACGAGGAAAAAGCGTCACCCTTTGGAATAAAATTGCGAAGGACCAACTACTCCTTGCGCTTCCACTCTGATCAGCAGACAGAACAGAAGAAGAAGAAAAGGCACAGCAGCACCGGGGACAGTGCCGACAGCGGGCCACCTGTACCAGCAAGCACAAAAGGAGAGAAAGAGACAGAGGGTGTGGCCCTCAAGCATGGCCTGTCCCTACCCCCCGAGAGGAAGCAAGCTCTGTCCACTTGGAAGGACTCTCCCGAAAGAGGGCATCCTTCTCCTGCAGCCCAGCCTGGGCCCCTGCCGGTTGCAGAGCACGACAAGGTGGCAAACAAAATGCCATTGACGCAGAAGCCAGCCCTGGCTCCCAAGCCTGCAGGTCAGACTCCCCCCTCCTCCCCACTCTCCAGACTGAGCAGGCCCTACCTGGTAGAGCTGCTGGCCCGCCGGGCAGGGAGGCCAGACCCGGAGCCCGGAGAGCCATGCAAGGAGGGTCTGGAGAGCAGGGACCCCTGGCCGCGCTCACCGCCGCCCCCAGAGAAAAGGAAGGCACACAAGAGGGATGAGGAGGAAGTGGTGGAAACAGAGAGGAAACCCGCTTCCCCGGCTCTGTCTGCTGCTCGGCCAGAGAAGCCTTCCCAAACCCCCGAGGCCGGGAGGAAAGGTAGGTTCGAGAAGGTCGGAAAGCCCTTATGTCCAGCGTGGCTGTGTCATGCGGAAGCCAGAACTGCTCAGAGCTGCAACAGGGCTAGTGTGGGAGCACCCCCTTCACTGGAGGGCCTCTCACAAGTCGTAAGAGGCCCTTTTCCTGCCCCTTTAAAATTTTGGAAATGCTGTCTGTGCTACCTGCCTGCAGCTCACATCGTGAATGATACTTACACAAGTGCCAGGTGCTGACGCTTAGACTGACAACTTTCAGTTGATAGTGGACTTTGAAATCCAGTCCTAATTAACAAATGTCCTTAACCTTCTGAGGGAGCCGCGCACTGATGAGAAAGACTGGAGTTTTCTGGACTAGTCTGTGTTCTATCTCTGGGCAGTAGCGGCACTAAAGTAGGAGGTTAGGGGACTTGCAGCCGCGGCATGAGGAGCTTCTGTGTACATGATTGGCTTTGGCTCAGGTTTATGCGAAATGCTGTGTAGGTGCATCCCCGCCCCCACCAGCTCACCACAGTGAGGCCTCTTCCAAAGAAATCTTAGAGCTGCCCTCACTTGTGGCTGCCCCTCATGTTTCTTCTCACTAGTGGTTTGGGACAGTTCAGTGATCGCTTGAATTGGCTTTGGGGTCCCTGAAAACCTTCATCTAATTCTTTTTTTGTTTTGTTTTGTTGAAGTGAAGTTTGGGTCATATTCTAGGAGGCTACTCGTATTTCTCAGAGAAATTCTCCCCTGAAGCTTTACTAGGAGATGCTGTAAGCCTTCTCTTTTGTTTAATAGTTTAGATGTAGGGTGATTTTTGCAGAGAAAACAGTAGTTTCCTGAGCAGTAGAGGTTTGGTTACTTGCCTCACGGAAGACCTTATTGTCCTTTTTAACCAAGCCTCAGACCAGCATGTAGATCACAGGTTTCCAGACCATTTCTCCCTAATGATTTGTTTGTCCTGCTGATGAGGAGCCCGTTTTCATCATTCTTTGTGTTTTGTTGCTTTAACCTCTGTGCTGGGCCATGAGGGATAGCCATTGTGCGCCCCACAGCCTGTTTAGCCCTGTCCCTGGGTGGCTCAGTCCATTAAGTGTCCAAATCTTGATTTTTGACTCAGGGCACCATCTCACAGTTTGTGAGCCTGGCGTCAGGCTCTGGGCTGATGGCATGGAGCCCACTTGGGATTCATTCTCTCCCTCTCTCTGCCCCTCTCCCACCTGTGTGCTTGCTCGCTCGCTCTCAAAATAAACATAAAAAAAAAAAAGAAAAAAAAAAAAACAATAACAACTGCTGGGGTCCCCGGGTCTCTCAGTTGGTTAAGCGTCTGACTCTTGGTTTCAGTTCAGACCATGATCTCACGGTTTGTGAGTTCAAGCCATGTGTTGGGCTCTGCACTGACAACATGGAACCTGCTTGATATTTTCTCCCTCCCTCCCTCTCTCTCTCTTTCTCTCTCAAAATAAGTTAAAAAACATTTTTAAAAATTGCAGTTTTGTACAGTAAATGAAAATGGATAGTTCAACATAATAAATTGTCATCTTTCAGATAAGTTGGTTTAGGAATAACTGTGCAGCAACTTGGAAAACCTGCAGTCACACTGGGCTCTGAGTGGGTGGTGCAGAACCTGTTTGGGATTCTCCATCTCCCATTCTCTCTCTCTGCCCCTCCCCTGCTCACTGTCTCTGTCAAAACTAAGTAAATAAATAAATAGAAACTGTCCCTTAGCTCCCTATAGCCTTGTGGGACTCATGCTTGCAAGCCGCATTGGCTTTCAGAGCTAGGTGTTTGGGGGCCCAGTCGCTCTGGTGAGGGTCTTAAAAAGTTGGGGCCCCGGGTGTGGCGTCCAAACCTTTTGTTCCCAAGGAGAAGCTGACAGTTATGAGTTCCCTCGGAGTTGTGGGTTGCTGTACGGGGGGTGGGTTTATGGTGAAATTGTGTCCCACCCCCTCTAGCCTCCTTTCGTGTGGAGTTGTTCTCATTCACCCATTGGGTAGGAGTTGTTCAGCTAGATTTTGGAATTTTGTAGAAGGGAGTTGTTCCATACATAGCTGTATGTTGGGTGTGTCCATGGGAGGAGAGGGGTGCAGGACCCTCCTATGTCACCGTCCTGAACTGGAATCCCCATTTTCAGATTTGACATTAGCCTTTGTGTCAGTAGCTTCTGTGATCATCAGAGTCCCCCTCGCTGTCTGGAGGACTCTGTCACTCTCCTTATCTTCTCCAGGAAGAAATAACTCTGCTGTGCTTTCTCTTAGGGAAGCCGTTTTGATTATTTTAATTTTCTACCAAAAACTGGTCCTTTCCCTGGTTTCTTTCCCAGTATCCAGACTCTGGACTGTTAGGCTCTGCTAATTGAATTTCTCTGTATTTGTTAGAAAAGCATCATGAAAGCAAGGACCACATGCCCATGAGTGCTGTCTAAAGACCACTGGGGTCTTCCTGCCCCACTCTAGGCCAGGCTGGCCAAACACGTTTGAGTGGACACCCCATCAGAATAAAAATAGTAAGCCTGGATCTCCAACTTTATTTGTTAATTGTGACCCTGTAGTGTTGTCATTAGCTAAAACCCCTGGAGTGCCATATACATTAAGGTGAAGGTCACTGAAACAACAGTGGACATAAATCCACTGTGATAATATCCCTCTGTGTTTGTCCTCTAGCACCTCTATTACAGATGTCGTGAGATTGCATCTCATTCCGAAATTCTCACCTCCTTGTGGTGTGTGGAACAGATATTAAGTGGTCCTTTCTCCCAGAACTGACCTTCAGGGGCAATGGTTAAAACCCTACAAGGCCAGGATGCACTGGTTCTTGTCCCCAGAACCTGAAGGAGGGACTTTGACTGGGCTGTGGTTCCCCTTGTCTGCTGAGTTTAGAATGTGAGAGATAATAGGTTTAAACAAATACTTTACTCTGGCTGCTTCCACCTCAACTCTGATTTTTCTGTGACCTTGTGGTAGCTGTTGGACCACTTCATGAGCCTGCCCTATGTAAGCGATCTAGAACTTTTGCTTCAGGATGTGGCAGTCGGTGCCATTATTGGTTGAAGACCTTTGGGCAACCTGGGCTGAAATTCAGACAAGAGCCACATTTTAACATCCAAAAGTGTTTTCTGTTTATTGGTCCCCAGCTATAATCCAGACCTGCAAGGTACTTTACACATATTGTGTTATATAGCCTTTCTAAAGTCTGGTCATTACTCCAGGATGTGCTATTCAAACCACAATTCTAAGGAAATAAAAATCTGGCTAGCAATTTATCTTTTTAAATTAAAAAAAAAATAGGTAATTCTACTTTAAAGGTATTTTGACCCTTGTGATAAAACGCTGGTCAGAATTGCTGGCGGGAAACTGGCCAGTTGTTTTAATGACCTTTCCAAGCAAGTTCCGATGGAATGTTTAGTGTAAGATTCCCTTTTACATAATAGTGTTAAATGTTTTAATGTGTATTTATTTTTGAGAGAGAGAGAGACTGAACAGGGGAGGGGCAGAGAGAGGGAGACACAGAATCCAAAGCAGGCTCCAGGCTCTGAGCTGTCAACACAGAGCCCGGCACCGGGCTCAAACTCATGAACCATGTGAGATCATGACCTGGGCCAAAGTCAGATGCTTAACCAACTTAGCCACCCAGGCACCCCTATATAATAGCTTTAAATGGGAATCATTTGGATCTTGGCAGTTTGGTTTTCATACATTATACAAACAGGTGTTACATGCCATGGAGTAAAACAAAACTTAAATTATTTCTTGTGTGTAAAGCCTCTCAGTTAAGCAGAATGCTTAAAGTGGTGAAGAGTGTCAACCCTTGAACATCATGGGGGTCAAGGGTGCTGTGCTGCCTTCCTGTGTAGTCAGTAATCCCTTTTGACTCCCTTAGAACTTAACTAGTAATAGCCTACTGTTGACTAGAAGCCTTCCTGATAACATAAATTGTTGATTAACTCATTTTATATATGTACTAAATACTATATTCTTACAATAAAGTAAGCTAGAGAAAAAATGTTATTAGGAAAACCATAAAAAAGACAAAATACATTTACAGTATGTACTGTATTTGAAAAAATAAAATCCACGTAAGGAAGCCTGGGTGGCTCAGTGGGTTGAGCAACCAATTCTTGATATCGGCTCAAGTCAAAATTCTGGGATCACATGGGATTGAATCCCACAATGGGCTCCTCACTGTGCGTGGAGCATGCTTAAGATTCTCTGTCTCCTTCTGTCCCTCTCATCCATTCACATGCTCTCTCTCAAAAAAAAAAAGTCTGTGTATAAGTAGATTTGGCCAGTTCAAACCCATGTTGTTCAAGGGTCTACTGTATTTGTATTCTTTTTTTTTTTTTTGGATAACTAAAGATTAAAAACACCTTTCAGGTTTTTTTTTTTCATACTTCTGAAATGTGTCCATTTTCTTTACTGTGTTAGATCATAACTGAATCTTTACTTGATGATTAGGGATAGCATGATGACCAAGACTCATTGTAAATAGGAATTCTCTTTGTACATTATTATAGGCCTAAAAGGTATAGAAAAGCAGACTCTGCCTCCTTTTTGTGCTTGAATTTTTTTTTTTTTTAATTTTATTTATTTCTAGGAGAGAGAGAGAGAGACAGCATGAGCAGGGGAGGGTCAGAGAGACAGGGAGTCACAGACTCTGAAACAGCCTCCAGGCTCTGAGCTGGCAGTCAGCACAGAGCCCGATGCGGGGCTTGAACCCAGGAACTGAGAGATCATGACCTAAGCGAAAGTCGGATGCTTAACCAACTAAGCCACCCAGGCGCCCCTGTGTTTGAATTCTTAATTTGATTTTACTCTTGTTCTTTCTCCTCAGTGTAAAGTCAAATCAATGAGAGCCCTGGTTGGTAAGGTTCTAGATCATCAATGTGTAAACTTCTGGTGAATTTCAAAAGAACAGGTCTATTGTGAGTCCTTTTCTTTTTTTTTTTTTTTTTTATTTATTTTATTTTATTTTTTTATTGTGAGTCTTTTTCATTTAAAGGAGCAAAGGATTCAACGCTGGAATGATTATCTATAAAAGGGCTTAATTTTTACGTGAGGGAAAGAAGAGGATGATTCTCATAGACATAAGGAGTAAGAACAGGTCACTTTTGTAGAGTGGTTACTATCTGCCAACTATCTGGTTACTATTCTAAATGTTCTGATACCCAGGATCTCTTCATCTTCATGGCAGCCTGATGAGGCATGTGCCATCGTCCTCTCCACTTTAGGGATTAGAAGACCTTGAGGAAGTTAAGTAGCTTGTGTAAGGTCACATAAGGTCAAGCCCAGGGCTGCTCAGTTTGAGTCCAGTTACTCAACCTCTGATTCCAGCCACCTTTGAAGTGTGTTTACCCCGCTGCATAGGCGAGACCATCAACCACAGGAAGAGCATAGACTAGAAGTCAGAAGTCCTGGGCTCAGACTTCAGCCTGTGCACTAACTGCTGGGTGACCTTGGGCACCACACTGGATTGCTGTGGCCCCTCATACTCTGTCAAAGGAGAGCACTGGACCAAAATCACAGGTTCCTACTGCATTCGTCAGAGCCCCGCTGCCCCCAGCAACCTCACGGGATAGAGCAGCACCCTTTTTCTCTTTCATACACTGGGGTCCCACATAGGATGTTTGGGAAAGGGTTAAATAAAGCAATAAATAAGAACAGTAAATCAAATAATAGCCTGGGTCCCCTGTAGGCTTGAGATTTTCTGACACTGGAGATTTTATTTTTAGTTCCATTTTGAGGGAAGGAAAAGGCTTCTGTTTTTCTGTTGATCAGAGATGTTACCTCTCTACCCAGAGAAATCACTCGGGCATCAGTGCAGAGTTTGTGTTAGGAAAGGACAGTTGAATACTTCATGTCACTAGGGGTGAAGGATCAAGGTAAGCAGTTTCACTGCAAACCTGCCTTTGCCTTTATAGTACTTGTTTTTTTTTTTTAATATTTTACTTTTTGGGAGAATCCAAGTGGAGGAGGGGCAGAGAGAGGGGGACAAAGGATCTGAAGCGGGCTGTGTGCTAACAGGCTGACAGCAGTGAGCCCGATGTTGGGGCTCGGACTCACGAACCGCGGGATCATGACCTGAGTCGAAGTTGGATGCTCAATCCACTGAGCCACCCAGGTGCCCCTGCGTTTACCAGTTCTGATCACAATTCTGGGGAGGGGTGGGTCCCTACACCATCAGACCCTCCTCAGACTGTAGCTGGTCCTCTTAACATTTCATCTCAGTTCCGACACTGTCTACCTGTCCCACAAGACTGTCTGCACTTCAGATGGCCATTCCCGTATCCAGGTCATCACCTGTGCATCTGACCAACTTAAACCGGAGATTCCCATGACCCCTTCCTTAAGTTCAGTTAATTTGCTAGAGTGCCTCACAGAACTCAGAAACATTTGACTTAATTAGATAACCAGTTTATTATAAAAGGATATAACTCAGGAACAGCCAGATGGAAATGATACATAAGGACAGGGTATGGGGAAGGGGCATGGAGCTTGCGTGCCCTCAAAGCACACCTCTCCCCACAAATTTCCCTGTGTTCACCAGCTGGAAACTCCCTGAACCCTGTGCTTTTGGGATTTTATGGAGGCTTCATTACATAAGCTGACTGATTAACTCATCAGCCATTGGCAGTTAAAGTCAGTCTCTAATCCTGCTCCCCTCCCCGGAGGTTGGGGGGGGTGGGAACAACCCTAATCACATGGTTGGCTCTTCTGGCAAGGAGCCGCCAGCCTTAAGGCCCCAAAGTCATTAACAGAATAAGGGGCACCTTATGCTCTCATCACTTAGGAAATTCCAAGGGTTTTACTGTACTCTAGAAATGGGCATGAAGACCAAATGTATATTGCTTTTTAAATTTTTTTTTAAGTTTAATCTCTACGCCCAGCATCGGGCTTGAAGTCACGACTCTTGAGATCAAGAGCCACATGCTCTACCAACTGAGCAGCCAGGTGCCCCCAAATAAATCGTATAAATCACGACATCAGTCTTTTTTTGTCCCCAGAAAAGCCTGTTCTTCAGAGCAGGCACTCGTTAGATGGCTCTAAACTAGCGGAGAAGGTTGAAACCGCACAGCCACTGTGGATAACGTTAGCGCTGCAGAAGCAGAAGGGGTTTCGGGAGCAGCAAGCAACTCGAGAGGAGAGGAAGCAAGCCAGGGAGGCCAAACAGGCCGAAAAGCTCTCCCGGGAGAACGTGAGTAGCCTGGTGGTCTTCAGCTCTAACTTTGCCTTCTCGGGTTTGGCGGTCTTTTAGGTAGGTCACAAGGATTTTTAAAAACACATTAGCTGGGAGTGAATACTTAGGGTAGAGCAATAAATAAATAAATAGACAACTGTTAAACCATGGAAGTGTTTTCAAGTAGTAATCTTGTTTGGGTTCCTTGTGCTCTTAGTCAGGTTAACCTGAGTTGGTAGAGTCCGTGATGCCTAGTGGCAGTCCATGCACACGGCAGCTACGTGAGAAATGGAGTGATTGCACTGAACAGTGAGTTGGGAAGAAAATCGGAAGTCTTGCTCTGTGGCCCTGATTTTACTCTGTTCATTGGGACTCCCACGAAAGTGGCTTTCCTTCTTTGGGACCTTTGTCCTGAGGTGTTCCACAGCCGGGGTCACGGTTGGGCACACATTGCTCCCAGGTGCAGTCCAGCTCTCCTCTAGGAGCAGAGGTTGGGGGCTGGCAGGTGGAAGCCCCCCAGGGCCTTGCACGGTCTGTCGTTCCATGTCCGGAGGTTGAACACACACTTGCCCTCTCTGCCCACGCAGGTCGGTGTCATCCTGCAGCCCGGAAACAGCAGTGTCAGCAGAGCAGGCTCCCTGCACAAGCCCAGCCCCCAGCCGGAGGAGAAGAAGCCGGAGACCGCGGTGTCCAGGCTCGAGCGCAGGGAACAGCTGAAAAAGGCCAACACTCTTCCCACATCTGTGACAGGTAGGAAGGGCAGGTCAGATTCTGTGTAACTGCAGTGACAGGCTCGTCTTCTCACAGCCGCTTTTGGTCCTTGAGTGTGAGAACGGGCAGAGTGCAAGGCACTTCACAGCCCAGGCTCTCACGGCCCAAGGTCAGCTTTGAGAAAGTGGTTTTTTTTTTTTTTTAACGTCTATTTATTTTTGAGAGAGACATAAAGTGTGAGTGGGGAAGGGGCAGAGAGAGGGAGACACAGAATCCGAAGCAGGCTCCAAGCTCTGAGCTGTCAGCACAGAGCCCGATGCGGGGCTTGCATGGCCTGAGCTGAAGTTGGTGTTTAACCAACTGAGCCACCCAGGTGCCCCATGAAAGCGCTTCTGATAAAGACCACCAGCAACTCCCCACCACCAGCGGTGTGGTGGTAAATGGTTAACAGTCACCCTTCAGGGAGTGGGGACACCTCTAATTTGTAGCATTTGAGTTTTCATGGGGTGAATCCCCATGTGGCTAGTTTCAAGCTACCAGCGTGGTGTCCCCGATCTCCCTAAATTCCTGAACACGGAACAAGCCCTTTCCAACACCCTGCCACCTGTAGTCCCAACAAAATGAGGCTTGTTCACTTTCTTCTGCAAAGGAGACCATGTACCAGAAGAACCGTCTAAAGAAAGCAAGAGGCAAGATAATAGGATTTGGGGGGAAAGGGTAAAGTTTATAAAGGGGTAGACTTCAAACCTGAGCTGAGAAGTGCACTCAGAGTCCAGGTTCCTCTGACGAGATAAAGTTAAATGTGTGGAGGCTGAATCTGAAAACCCCTGCTCGGGGCTCTGCACCTGCTCCGAACGGGAAGCTGCTTCTCTGAACTTGTGACCTCTGGGGCTCAGATGCTCCAGGCAAAAGTGGGAATGTCTCTGTTCACTGATGGGGTTTCACATAGCAAGTTTCTGACCATAATAATTAACAGCAGTGTTTGCTATTCATGACCTATAAAAGACACACATTTTTAATTTTTTTATAGTTTTTTTTATTTTTGAAACCGAGAGGGGCAGAAAGAGAGAATCTGAAGCAGGCTCCGAGCTGCCTGCACAGAACCCGATGCAGGGCTCGAACCCATGACCTGAGCCAGAGTCGGATGCTTAACTGACTGAGCTACCCAGGTGCCCCATAAAAGACACATATTTTTTTAAAATTCTTTATTCTGTTAAAAGAAAATGACCCGTCATGTTTCCAACTATTTCCTTGTTACAGATCACTTGGAGGAGGGATATGAATGGGAACAAGCTTCCTCCCAGGGGTTACCAGGGCCTTTGTTTTTGTATTTGTCTTTTCAGTCATTATTTTAGAGTTCTCTTTCTGAGGAGGCCATTGCCATGGGCACCAAATAGGACTCAGAGAGAAGCCAAGATCCTTCACCTTAGGAAGGCTCTAAGATCTGGTACAGCAAGTGTTGGGACTGTGCGGCCTGCCTGAAAGCCCAGAGAGCTGGCAGGAGTTACGGGCCAGGGAGTGGCGGGCCCCAGCGCGTGCTTGGTGCAGAGGGGAGCTTCTGACCTCACCAGTTCGATAAATTCAGACCGCTGGTTTGATCTTTTTCTTCATGGGACTGACTGGTTTTATAGCTAGAATTACATTTACCTTTTATTTCTTGTTATCATGTAGGCAGAGCTTCTGTGCACAAAAACTTAAGACTTCTAGAAACTCTGAAATTAAAACCAACCATATTCTAATTCTGTATGAAACGGTTATGATCACTTGCTTTCTTCGGCTCATTCTTCTCACTAAAGATGCGCAGTGTTTGGGTTTTCCTTTCTGGATCTTCTGGTACATCAAATGTGGTTCTGACTTTTACTCTTATCCTTTTCCTTCCAAACGCGATCCAGTGGAGATCTCTGATTCAGCTCCCTCTGCACCGCTGGTCAAAGAAGTCACCAAGAGGTTTTCAACCCCAGACGCTGCCCCCGTGTCAACAGAACCAGCCTGGCTGGCATTGGCCAAAAGGAAAGCCAAGGCCTGGAGCGACTGCCCACAGATCATTAAGTAGAGTGACTCTTACCCACTCCTGTTGCCAGTTATTGGCTCTTCTCTTGCCCTTGTTATTTATTTTTTATCGGAGGTAAAGAAACCAAGCTAGGGAAAAGCAGCATGTTTTATAGGCTCCAAAATAATGTTTAGAAACTGAACTGGCGGCGTTCCTTGTAAAGAGTGTATTTGCACAATCCTAGGTCCTGGTGCCTTGAGCTCCTCCTCGTTCTCAAGAGAAAGTTCCATCCAAGGGACCACACGAAGCAAAACCTCCAAACTACGGACTTTTCACGAGAGCCTACCATGCCCGTTCCACAGCCCTCCACACAGCACACACCCTCACACCATTTAGAACATGTCCTTTTGCCAATCTCTGTAATGGTTTGTGCTTCTGTCCTCCAGTTTACCCTGCCATGTTTGGTGGTTTCTTCCCTTTTCTACGGTAATGGTAAAAGAAAGGATCATACAGATAGAAACAAGAGTGCCCATTCTCCTGAATGCAGTGAGTAACTAGGAATCATAAGTTAACAAACAGTCTGGCTGCCACCTCTTTGCGTGTCTGCTTTCCTGAATTCTCCCTGATCTGGACCCGTACCACGCACGTGTCCGCCACACTGCTATTCTACAGGTCCTGCCACGCCAGGACTCCCTGAAGAAGGTGTTAAACATTTGGCCCAGTTAGCACCTAGGGAGTATTTGATTTGCTATCATGAAGAAAGGAAGCAAGATACTCTCTTTCCGTCTCTGAGAATCCCCATCTAGTGCAGAGGTTCTTAAGTTGTCCTGGCTCCACCCCGGTCCTACCCACCAAATTAGATCCTATGAGGATGGGCCAGGAAGGTCTCTTCCGGCAGACCTCTTCAGACGAATTCTGATAGATCCCAAAGGTTGAGAACCTTCGGATAAACTGCTCCCAATGTAATCTAGCTTTTCAAACTCTGAAAGGGAGGCTCATTTCACCCAAAGCAGCAAATGTGAGAGAGGAAAAATAAACCAATCCCCCAAACCAGCCATTTACTACAAGATAGGAGAGGTTACTGACATTATGTGTCTCTGAGTATTAATATTCCCCTAGGTCTTTAGGGAAAATTGACAGGAAGCCAAGATTTGGAGCCTTCGGACTAAGGACTTCCTATGGAAGTTTCTTTCTTTACCATAAGCGAGTGATTAATATAGAGAGTCAGATGTTCAATAGCATTTATAATTTTGAGCGTTCACCTTGCTACCTTTAGAAAACATCTCAGAGTCTTAAGTGGCCTTGTTACTCCACACATGTGGTCCAAAGAAGGGACATGGCAGTTTAAAAGCATGAAACATAGACATACCAGCAAACCCACACTATTTCATGGTGTTGGCATTCTCTTTGCTGAGATTCCAACTCCACGATACAAGTCCATATCCTTTGCTCAGTGCAGGGGGGGAGTCACATTTCTGTTTCCTCTCCTCCAAAAACACATTTTATCAGTATCTATCATGCTGAGCTCCCCCCATCATACAACGTGCGGTTATTATTCTGTCATTTACCATATAGAAGGCATCTTCTGGAAACGATGGCTCAGCTTCATGGTAGCAACTGGCAAGTGTGGTCAAGCAGATGGTTGTACTCTTGCAGGCTGGATTTAATATTATATATCCTGGACCTTCAGACTGTTAAGACTCAGTGTAACTATTTTATTCCTGTGGGAAGCAATTAATACTCCACTGCGTGTTATCTACACTGATGTTCATTTCTAAATCAAACATGGAGGCATTTGTTAGTTTTCAGTGATTTCATTACTAGCCTAACACCCTTTTTAATGGCAATCTTTCCACGTAGAGCCCTGGTATTCTAGTGCTACAATAATTCTTCTGAACTGTGTCTTTCATCCTGTCAGCTTTGGATAATACCACAGTAAGGGTGAAGAATAGAGGAAGAAATCAGATCACTGAAGAAGAATACTTCAAGAGTCAACCCTCCACTGGCTCACATACCACGCAGGAGAATGCCTCAGTCACAAAGCTCCTATGAAAGTCTTCAGAAGTTACGAGTACACTGGGGAAAGGGACAGTCACAGCACTTACTTTCAACCACTTCCTGAAGGGTACATGTTGACTATTTCATGTAAAATTACTCCAAATTTGCACTAAATACCAATGAAGTGTTATTTTGCTTTAGTTGTGCTGCAGTCTTTTCTGATTAACAAACTACGGGGGAAATTCTGTAAAAACAAAAAACCTTTTTTTGTTAAATGAATGATTGCTATGTTAAACTTTTTTTTTTTTTTAACTTAAACATATACTTCTCTTGGCAAGGTTAACAGATTAACCCTGTTCATAAACATAGAGTTTTTGTTTACTTTTTTAATTTTCAAGTGCAATTGTTTCTTACACATTACTATTAAAAATATCATTTTAGCTATTTATCAGCAAATTATAGTATGTATTCATTGTCTCTTCTTGTGACATTTAGTTTAATTATTTTAAAGCAGAAACATTAGTTACAGTGTCTTGCAATATTTTTAACCAATAATAAAATTAAGTAGAGACAACAATGAAAAATATCTTAGTGTGATTTTAATATTATTTTGAGATTTTTGGTTGTATAGTTTTAATGTAAAATGTTCATTATTGAAGGAAAGGGATCTTTCAATAAAAAATACCTACAAGATTTTCAGCACTGATGGAATTTCCTTTTCAAGTTGAAGTTTTTACTAATTTCAGTGACTATGAGCAAGCTCATATTTATATAGCTTTTGTTAAGAAAAATTTCAAGGCAATTTATGTGCTACCTTGTATTTTATACTAGGTGTTTTAGAGATAGTAATGAGTAGGGGCAAATAAAATGTTTATCTCTGTCCTAAATTGGAATTGAATGGTCTCCCTCTCAGACAAAACAATCCTACAGCCTTCTTACACAACACACGGGCCCCAGAACAGCAACCGCGGCTGGAGCTGAGAGCTTGTGAAAGGCAGCCAGACCTTCTAACTCACGGGCCTGCACTAGGGCAAAGTGAGTGATGTGAGGCACTCTTCTTGGGTGCCACAAAACTACATAATCAAGAAAAATGCTATTTTCATACAGTAATTTTTTTAAAAATTAATAAAAATTAGTACTTGGGCACCTGGCTGGCTCAGTAGTAGAACATGTAACTCCTGCTCTCAAGGTTGTAAGCTCAAGCCCCACATTGGGCCTAGAGATTACTTAATAAAATAAAAATTCATACAAATTCCAACATGAACAAATATCAAAATTTTAAATAAAGACGGGATCAGTATTACTGATTTTTCTTTTTGCCTCAGGCTCCATTATGGCTCAGCAAAGCACTTTCAGCCCTCTCAACTGTTATGTGCCTTTCATTCTTTTTTTTTTAATGTTTTTTATTTATTTCTGAGAGAGAGAGAGAGAGAGAGAGGCAGCGTGAGCAAGGGAGGGTCAGAGAGAGAGGGAGACACAGAATCTGAAACAGGCTCCAGGCTCTGAGCTGGCTGTCACCACAGAGCCCGACACAGGGCTCGAACCCACGAACCGTGAGATCCTGATCTGAGCCAAAGTCGGACGCATAACTGACTGAGCCACCAAGGCGCCCCATGTGCCTTTCATTCTAACAAGAGCTTCAGGTGGTTAATATGTTAAGATTTAAGCAGTGGGGGCGTGCCTGGGTGGCACAGTTGGTTAAGCGTCCGACTTTAGCTCAGGTCATGATCTCATGGTTCATGAGTTCAAGCCTTACTTCGGGCTCCACACTCTCTCTGCCCCTTGTGGGATTCTCTCTCCCTCTCTCTATGCCTCTGTCTTACGCTTTCAGGAAAAAAAAAAAAAAAAAAAAAAAGATTTAAGAAGCCAGGATCTAAAACTTGGCAGAAAAGATGTTGTTCTTTTTGGCCAGTGTGTACCTCAATCCTCTCTCTAGGTTTGGAGAACTCTCCCAATTCATGGGTCTTGCACTCATCTCCCACCACCAGAGATGAAATGCCTGATATATGCTTCCCTGTCATGCTGGTTTCAGGCACTCAGCGTTCCTGGCTGTGTAGCTCTAGCCCTTGTTGCAATTCTCCAAGCTATTTAATATTCTTTTTAAAAATTCTTTTCTGCTTAAAATAGCCTTAAAATAGCTTGCGGCGAAGGACTCTGGCATGTCTGATATTTGAGACTTTGAGAAATGGACAAATTAAATGATACCACAGTTGATAGAGAAACAGGGAAGGTGAGCAGGAGGATGTATTTTTGTTACTGTAAGTGCCTGAGCACAGGTGTCTGGGATGTACTATGCCCTAAATACTTATTACTACCACTAATGGCTAAATTCATAGTATCATAGCAAAAAAAAAAAAAAAAAGCTGCTTTATTACCTGAGCTATTATATCATGAAATTTCAAGGAAAATTGGGACATATTTCATCTACTTGAGTAATTTAAGTGACGTGGAAAAAAAGATGACATAATTTCTGTTCCAGTGATCCCTGCTGCTACCCCCTAAAACCACCTACCCTGACATACTATTCCCTAAAACTTAGTGGCTTAAAACAACTGCCGGTTTATTATTTCTCAGGATTCTGTGGGTGAGAAATTAAATGTCTGGCACCAGGATGGCCTGAACAGCTGGGGACTGGCTGGAATGCTGGGGCCACACGTGTGGGGCTTCAACTGTCCCTGTTCTCTAGCTTCCTCCGTTTTCTAAGTGAACGTCAGGGCCATTCCCTCACCATGTGGCCTCTCTGTCTGTCAGACTTCTCATGTGGCAGCTCCGGGATCCCATGAGAACAGAAATGCCCAGGCCTTCTTAAATCTTAGGCTCAGACCTGACATTAGTGTCACCTCCACTGCTTATGTTGGTTAAAGCAAATAATGGACCAAGCCCAGGTGCGAGAAGACCACATACAGGGCATGGCTCCCAAGAGGAGGTTCAAGTTCACTGGGGGCCACTTCATACCAAGCACATGCAGGTATGGCACTAGAGAAGCAGCTCCAGCCCCAAACCAGACACATGAGAATCAGGATACTTAAAAGCATATAGTTTTCTTCTTTCCTGGTTTTTGTTGTGTTCCCTACCTCCAAGCCAGTGAACAACAACAACAACAACAAAACCATACAATCACAAAATCTAAAAAACTGAGAAATATAGGCACAAAAATATTCATCAAGGTTTGTATATGAAAAGTTGAAAAAAGAAGGTAAATCAACTTGAAACTATTATAGGAAGAAAGAGATAGATATAGTTCAATACTGATATTTTGGTCACTTAAAAATATTAGATAAGGAACCTAATTTGAATTTGATAAAAACATCCTACCTCTGAAAACCTTTTGTTATGGATCTCACTGTAAATAAGTAAATGGTGCATTACATCATGGACTGAGTTTTTAATTCACCAAGTATACTCTGATCTTCTTTTTCACAGAATTCTATAAAAAAAAAAAAAGAAAGAAAAATACCCAAAGTGAAATATCTGCAGCCTAATTAAGAGAAAGTGCTACTAAATAAACTGATGTTTTTGTTCTGTAATTCCTTTTAAAAGCATTTGTTCCTGCTACAAGAAGTAAAATATGATCATTCTCCAATAAAGTGTCATAGACAAGTTTCTTAAGCAAAAATCATCTTTAGTATAAAATAAGACTATCCAAATGCTCTATAATGATAAAATATTTTCAAACATCTCACATAATTGAATAAGGACTGTACTTGATCATATTTGATAGCCACCCAACAAATCCAGACAGTAAACATAATTATTTCTACATCCAATAAGAACCATTGATTCCCAGACCACAGGAGAAGAGAAGACTTGTCCAGGAAGTTCATATACACTTTGTAATCGTCCACTCTTAGATTCCAAGATCCACAGTTTCCCATCAGTAGATGCTGCTGCCAGCAGCATTTCATTGCTACAAAACTGGGAACGAAAAGCAAATGGTGTTGCATACACCTGTGAAGTAGTTTCAAATTTCCACCGGAGGTGACCTTTCATACTGCAACAGTAGATAAAGCAATCATGGGAACCAAAAAATACTTGTTGCTCTGATGCGGAGGTACATGGGGATGAAAAGATTGGTTCACTGGTAGAGAACTGCCAAATCTGAAGGATGAGAAAGGCAAAAATAATTCATCTAATTTCAACAATTCTCCTGTAAAGAGAGAAACTTAAGAAATTCTTAATAAAAATGTAAGTGACGTAGGCTATTAAATGGTAACTACTACACATACACAGAGAGGAAATATTGGCTTTTTCTGAAAAGTAGCATTCTCAAATTATACCTCTGTTCCCAGTGGTAAAATCTGGAACAAAATACACTGGAGTGTTCTTACTACATCAATAACTGCTATGCAGAATATGATGAAATAAAACTAATTTGAACCCCATTCAAGAAAGAGCTATTACTACTATGTTCAGAGACACTAAGTTCAAAGATAAAATTGCACTCAGTTTTCAATGTATCTTTTTAAAAACTAGATCTTGTTCTATTCTCCTAATGTAAGGAGATGGAAGTGACTGAAGGAAGAATTTATGTGCAATAATTCAAGTTAAAGGTTAAACAAAAAGCCATGAGTTGTGTGTCTGCCTGTGGATATATACTATCTACTTATTTTAAAGCTACCACAGACAAACCTGCCAGCCAATATTTTGAAGAAAAGAAAGAAAAGGTGCAAGTCTAAGGTAGTGTTTATAGTAAAAGAATAAAAAGCAAACAAAATGAGAACAGTGGGCATCTTCATGAAATAGGACTTGTAATCTTAATTCTGTCCCTCACTTGGAAAAATCATTTTCATCTTTCTATGGTTCACCCAAAAAAACAGGAGAAACAGCATTTGCTTCTTCTTACTTCTTAGGAATCTAAAGGTGTGAATATGTTCAAACAATTTTGTAAATAAAAATATTAAGTGAACATCACGAAAGATCTCAGCACAAAGTAATTGTCCCACAGCCAAGAGGAACTGCCAGGCCAGGCAGGGTGAAAGTAGAATAAAAAGCACCAGCAGCAACACTGACTATCACTGGGCTTAACTCAGGGTGGAACCAGTGCTCTCTCAAGTCCACAGACAGCCCCCCACATCAAACTACAGCACCAGATGGGCCACCAGTGATAGTCACATGGATAAAGTAGTGGAGATTATGCTCCCATCCAAAAAAGACCTAATGCAGAAGAAGCCGACCCTGTCATGAAGTTGAAGACAGCACCTCCATACGATGTAATTTGGGTTATACCACCTATTCTAGTTTTCAGAGAAAAAGCAGGGGCTTCTTTAAATGTTCAAAACCTTGGGGTGCTGGGTGGCTCAGTCGGTTAAATGTGATTCTTGATTTTGGCTCAGGTCATCATCTCAGTTTCATGAGTTCGGGCCCCACATCAGGCTCTGCACTAACAAGCGTGGAGCCTGCCTGGGCTTCTGTCTCTCCTTCTCTCTCTGCTCTTACTCCACTCATGCTCGGTCTCTCTCAAAATAAATAAACTTAAATAAATAAATGTTCAAAACCTGAACAGAAATTATAATAAAACTGCCTAAAAACTCGTATTGTTTTTTTAATATTTATTTTTGATAGACAGAGCATGAGTGGGGGAGGGGCAGAGAGAAAGAGACATAGAATCCAAGGCAGCTTACAGGCTCTGAGCTGTCAGCACAGAGCCCAGTGCAGGGCTCAAACTCATGAACCGTAAGATCATGACCTGAGCCGAAGTCAGACGCTAAACCGACTGAGCCACCCAGGCGCCCCAAAACTGGTAAAGTTTTTCAAACTGGAGGAGGGCAGTGTGCTTGAGTGGCTCAGTTGGTTAAGCATCTAACTGGATCTCAGGTGATGGTCAGGTCAGGTTTATGAGTTCAAGCCCTGGATCCAGTTCTGTGCTACCAGCACACAGCCTGCTTAGGCTTCTGTTTCTCCCTCTCTCTGTCACTCCCTCCCACCCCACTCCCTTCTCTTTCTCTCAAATAAATAAACTTTTTTAAAAAATTGGGGGAGGGCACAAGTATAACAATGTTGGGGTCTTCTTAATCTACTATACCATCATTCCAAAATTAAGAAACCCGTGGCTTGAACATTAAAATCAAAATAGTTTTCAGCACTATGAGCTAAATGATGATGTTTAAAATTTTACTTCAGTTGTCACCAACTATTATGACTTTGAGAAAGATAATGTAAAATGGAACCAGAAATTTTTACCTGTTCTCCAAAGTGAGTAAAGCAGAGTAAATTTCCATCTACACAGCCAATACAAATATACTGTAGGCAACACCGTGGAGAAGAAAATAGTGGTTTTCCACAGGAATGTTTCCAAACTGTGTTCCCAGTGGCCTGCCATGCGCAAAAGCAATTCACAGCATGTAAATTATATTACTAAACAATTATGCTCTTTATGAAACAAACCCCTAAATCTCCCAGAGGCAAAGCTATAAACATCAGAAAACGCTAGAATGGCATGCTGATACCATAAATGAAGCTAGCACACATACAGCCATAAAATTAATCAGTACTCTTTATAAGAGCTGAGATAAAACTTACAATAAAACCAGGAAATAATTAGAACATAAGATCTACCTTTAAACCATTCTAAGTTTTAATATGACTGAGAAAATTCTACCAATTAAAAAAAATAGATCAAAGACATACATGGAATTTCTATTTTCTCCATTCTAGACTTACTGTCAATCATTTTAAGGAGTTCTAGTCCAGTGAAAGCTGGACTATATTTAATTAAAAACTACTTTAGAGGCACCTGTGTGGCTCAGTCGGTTAAGCATCTGACTCTTGGTTTCGGCTCAAGTCATCATCTCAGTTTCATGGGTTCAGGCCCAGCATCAGGTTCTGCACTGGCAGTGCAGAGCCTGCTTGGGATTCTCAATCTCCCTCTCTCTGCCCCTCCCCCACTCACATGGTCTCTGTCTCAATTAATAAAATTAACAATTTTTTTAAATACTTCAAATTTCAGAATTCAAGCAAAAATAAAACATTAAAGACAAATAATATAATCAATACATGTTATTTTATGCCTACAGGATTTATAGCCAGTAACAGCCCTCCCAGTGTAGCCACATATAAATGATGTGGTATCAGGCTCAAACAAGGGGAAGAAAAGACAGTTCCTCCACATTTCAACTTCCAAACACACTTCTTTTTCTGCAAATAAGAAAACAAAATTAATTGGTTTCTGGTGGTGGTTAACAAATCTACATATTCGATTTCTCATGATACCACCTCTATTTAATTAATGTAACTTTTTATTCTTAGTATAAAAGTAATACAGGCTCACTGTAGAGATTTAAGTTGGTATAAACAGTACAAAGACCACCCAGGGAGAAGCACTGTTAATATTTTAACATCTTCCCTTTTGATCATTTTGGAACATACAATAGTTTAACATAGTTGAGATCATTCTGAATATACACTTGACATCTAATTTAGCTCATTTACTTGGTAAAACTATTACTTTAATGCATAATATCCCATCTGAACATAAAATTATTTCTCTACCTTAACACTGAAACTTGTTTCAAACTAATTTCTTGGCTTAGTTATAGACATCTTGGTGTACATAACTGTCCACGTTTCTGATTACTTTGGCAGGACATAATCCTAGAAGAATTTTACTGAATCATAGGATATGAGAGTTAGCTATGGCCAAACTGTTTTCTTCAGACTTCACTAGTTACTGCCAACCCCCCACTAACCAACATTGAACATACTCTGGTCTAACACTATCTGGTTCTTCACCACATAGTTTTAAACTTCCATTCCTTTGATTACTAAAGGTATGAAACATTTAAATACATTTAGTAGATATTTCTTCTTTGAGGTCTTTTACATTTATATCTGTTGTTTATTTTTCTATCTGGGTCTTTATAATTTGTATTTGTTCTTTAATTCCATTTATTCTTATAAATGAACTTTAACTCTGTTATGTGCTTCAAATGGTTTTCCCCAACTTATCAGGAATGTTTTTCCCTTTGTGATTCTTAATATTGTCAACACAGTAATTTTAAGCTCTTTAGATTTAAAAACTCTGAGTAGTAAATTTATTTGTGAAAATCTGGTAAGGATGTTAAAAATGTCTTAAGGTACTAAGACTGTTAATTAACTCATTCTTCCCAGACCACAATGCTAAACTTAGGGAAGAGTGAATACCTTCTCTCTTAGTGAAGAAAGAGCACCTGACAGTGTCCTACTCTTCTAAGCTTATGATAAGAAACTGATAAGGTTTCTTACATAAATATCCAAAGCATATGCATGCTGGTCATGAGATCCAATGTAAATGACTCCTGTGGTTGGATCCATGGTTGCTGAGCTTTTGACAGCATCCTCGGTAGTAAACATCCAGTGTTCTTCTCCACTATTACTTTTCAGAACATAAACTAACCCATTATAACAGCCTGTTGGGAAACAAAATATAAAAGATGAGTTTAGATACATCACCAGAACATAATTGTTTAGCCTACATCATGACCATTTACATTCGATGCTCTTTATGTGTAACTGTATGTCCAGCTCAGGTTTAAACTTCAGCAATGTAAAGCAGAAACCAAACAGTAATCACTTGTAAAAATGCCTATTAGTAGGTATACCTTATTTTGTTCTTAAATTACCATAATGTGCTTCACTCCTGAGAAAACAAAGAAGCACAGTGAAGAGAGGCTTTGACAGGCCTGGAATCAAATCTCTTTCTGGCCATCCATGGGCAAATTACCCAGCATTGCTGAGCCTCAGATTTTCTACCACATGTGGACACATCTACTCCAGTGTTATTGTGATAATTAAGATAACATGGACTAAAGGGTGCCTGGGTGGCTCAGTTGTTTGAGCATCCAACTCCTGAATTCAGCTCAGGCCATGATCTCATGGCTCATGAGTTCAGGCTCTGCATCGGGCCCCATATTGGGCTCTGTGCTGATAGTGCAGAGCCTGCTTAGGATACTTTCTCTCTCTGCCCCTCCTCCACTTGCACTTTCTTTCTCAAGATAAATAAATGCTAACGTTGGACAACTTAGAAGAAATGGACAAATTCCTAAACACACACTCACTACCAAAATTCACACGGGAAGAGATAGAAAATCTGAACAGATCCATAACTAGTGAAGAAATTGAATCAGTTACCAAAAATCCCCCAACAAATAAGAGCCCTGGGCCAGATGGCTTCCCTGGGGAATTCTACCAGACATTGAAAACAGAATTAATACCCATTCTTCTCAAACTATTCCAAAACATAGAAACTGAAGGAAAACTTCCAGACTCATTTTATGAAGCCAGCATCACTCTGATTCCCAAGCCAGACAGAGACCCAGCAAAAAAAAGAGGACTACAGACCAATATCCTTGATGAATACAGATGCAAAAGTCCTCAACAAGATACTTGCAAATTGAATCCAACAGCACATAAAAAGAATTATCCACCATGATCAAGTGGGATTCATTCCTGGGTTACAGGGCTGGCTTAATATTCGCAAATCAATCAATGTGATACATTACATTAACAAAAGAAAAGATAAAAACCATATGATCCTGTCGATAGATGCAGAAAAAGCATTTGACAAAATACAGCATCCCTTCTTAATAAAGACCCTTGAGAAAGTCGGAACTTAAACATCATAAAAGCCATTTATGAGAAGCCCTCAGCTAACATCATCCTCAATGGGAAAACTGAGAGCTTTCCCCCTGAGATCAGGAACATGACAGGGATGTCCATTCTCACCACTGTTGTTTAACATAGTGCTGGAAGTCCTAGCATCAGCCATCAGACAACAAAAGGAAATAAAAGGCATCAGAATTGGCAAAGAAGAAGTCAAACTTTCACTTTTCACAGACGACATGATACTCTACATAGAAAAGCCAACAGACTCCACCAGAAGCCTACTAGAACTGATCCAAGAATTCAGCAAAGTTGCAGGGTACAAAATCAACATACAGAAATAGGTTGCATTTTTATACACCAACAATGAAGCAACAGAGAGAGAAATCAAGAAACTGATCCCATTCACAATAGCACAAACATAAAATACCTAGGAATAAACCCAACCAAAGATAGAGGAGATCTGTATGATGAAAACTATAGAAAACTTATGAAGGAAATTGAAGAAGACACAAAAAAATGGAAAAACATTACATGCTCATGGATCGGAAGAATAAATATAGTTAAAATGTCATTACTACCCAAAGCAATCTACACATTCAATGCAATCCCAATCAAAATTGCACCAGCATTCTTCTCAAAACTAGAACAAACTGTCCTAAAATTTGTATGGAACCACAAAAGATGCCAAATACCCAAAGCAATATTGAAGAAAACCAAAATGGGAGGCATCACCATCCCAGACTTTAGCCTCTACTACAAGGCTGTAATCATCAAGACTGTATAGTATTGGCACAAAAACAGACACATGGACCAATAGAATAGAATAGAGAACTCAGAACTGGATCCACAAATGTATGGCCAACTAATCTTTGACAAAGTGGGAAAGAGTATCCAATGGAAAAAAGACAGCCCCTTTAGCAGATGGTGCTGAGAGAACTGGACAGCAACATGCAGAAGAATGAAACTAGATCACTGTCTCACACCATACAAAAAATAAACTCAAAATGGATAAAGGACCTGAATGTGAGACTGGAAACCATCAAAACCCTAAAGGAGAAAGCAGGCAACAACCTCCTTGACCTCAACCGCAGCAATTTCTTACTTGACACTTCCCCAAAGGCAAGGGAATCAAGAGCAAACATGAACTATTGGGTCCTCATCAAGATAAAAAGCTGCTGCATGGCAAAGGAAACAATCAATAAAATGAATAGGCAACTGACGGAATGGAAAAAGAGTTGTAAATGACATATCAGATAAAGGGCTAGTATCCAAAATCTATAAGGAACTCACCAAACTCCACACTGGAAAAACAAATAATCAGTGAAGAAATGGGCAGAAGACATGAACAGACACTTCTTCAAAGAGGACATCCAGATGGCCAACAGACACATGAAACGATGCTCAGTGTCCCACATCATCAGGGAAATACAAATCAAAACCACACTGAGATACAACCTCACGCCAGTCAGAGTGGTGAAAATGAACAGATCAGGAGACTATAGATGCTTGCAAGGATGTGGAGAAATAGACACCCTCCTACACTGTTGGTGGGAATGTAAACTGGTGTAGCCCCTCTAGAAAACAGTGTGGAGATTCCTCAAAAAATTAACAATAGAACTCCCCTATGACCCAGCAGTAGCACTGCTAAGAATTTACCCAAGGGATACAGGAGTGCTGATGCATAGGGACACATGTACGCCAATGTTCATAGCAGCACTCTCAACAATAGCCAAATCATGGAAAGAGCCTAAGTGTCCATCAACTGATGAACAGATCAAGAAGATGTGGTATATTTATACAATGGAATACTCCATGGCAATGAGAAAGAATGAAATCTGGCCATGTGTACAATATGGTTGGAACTAGAGGGTGTTATGCTGAGCAAAGTAAGTCAGGCAGAGAAGGATAGATACCAAATGTTTGCACATATAGGTGGATTAGGAGGAACTTAATGGAGGATGATGCGGGAGAAGAAGGGAAAAAATAGTTGGGGAAAGGGAGGGAGGCAAACCATGAGAGACTCTTGAATGCTGAGAACAAACTGAGGGTTGATGGGGGTAGGAGAGAGGGGAAGGGGAGTGATGGGCATGGGGGAGGGCGCTTGTTGGGATGAGAGCTGGGTATTATATGGAAACCAACTCGACAATAAACTAAGAAAAAAAGTTTTTTTAAAAATAAGCTTTAAAAAAAAGAAAAAAATGCTAACATTAACAATAGCGAACATTTACTGAGCTTTTACCTTGTGAAATGTTGTATCTGCAGTTTGCAGATGACAAAAGGAAGCACAGAGAGATTGTTACTAGGGGAAAACTCCTCAGCTGACATGTGACTGAGCCAGGATTTGGATCTAAGAAGTCTAGCTTCAGAGCCTATGCACGTAACTACTACAGCAGACTGCTTTTCCCAAACTGATGCAACAGGTAAAAAGCTAGGGCTGGACTCCCTCTTGACTTGGTGTAATCAGAATAACTCAGGTGACAGTAGGCAGTCAAAATCTAGAAAGTAAAGACTGCTCAAGTTCCCTGCAGTGCATGTTCATCAGGGCACGCTGACTTTGGGCACTGGCCATTACTCTCTAGATGGCTCTGCCTAGAGAGTGTATAACCACTGCTGCTCATTTGAGGCCCAATTCCAGAGTAACTGCAGTACTGTTTTCCTTCTAGCAGTTACTACTTAGTAGCAAGAAACTGGCCTGCTTAGTGATGGTGAAGAAAAATATCCTACACAGTACCGTATCCCAGGAATCAGTTGGGTAATGAAAAATTTCCTTGAGTTCATTTCCAGAAGAAAATCTTTGTGACCTTGGGTCAAGTAAAACTCTCTTGGATAGGACATCAAAAGCATGATCCATAAAAGAAAATCAATGATAACTATTAAAGAAAAAAAAAGTCAATGATAAACTGGACTTCATTAAAATTAAGAACTTCACTTCAAAAGACATTATGTTAAAAAAAAACAACAACAAGCCATAGGCTTGGAAGAAACATGCAAAACACTTATAGATAGCAGCTTATATCCAGAATACAGAATATTCTCAGAACCCAACAAGAAAACAAATATAACAATAAAAATGGGCAAAAAATCTGAAGAGACAGGTCATAAAAGATGTACAGATGGCAAATAAGTTCATCAAAAACACATCATTAGTCACTAGGGAAATGCAAATTAAAACCACAGTTTTAACTCAGATAAGTGTCTGACTTCGGCTGACAGTTTGTGGGTTCGAGCGCTGCACTGTCACTACGGACCTGGCTTGGGATTCTCTCTCTCCCTGTCCCTAGACCACTCTCTCTCTCAAAATAAATAAAATTTAAAAAATCTAAACAAAGAAACAGAAAACCATAATGAACATCTGACTTTTGATTTCAGCTCAGGTCATGATCCCAGAGTCATGGGATTGAGCCTCACATCTGGAGTCTCCTTAAGAAACGCACTCGCTCTCGCTCTCTCCCTATGACCCTCTCACCTGCTCGGACATTCTCTCTAATATAAAAAAACCACGATGAAATACGACGTCATAACAATCTGACTAAAATAAAAAGATTTTCAAACTGACAACACCAAGTACTAGCAAGCATATGGAACAGCTGGACCTCTCATACAGTGGTGGTGACAATGCAAAGTGGCTCAGTCACTAGGAAAATATTTTAGTCATTTCTTACAAAGTTAAAGCTATACTTACTGTATAATCTCCCCCTTCTCGGTACTGACCCAAGTGAAATTAAAAACTTATATTCATGCAATATGCTGCTCACAAATGCTTATATCAGTCTTACTCGTAATTAAAAACTAGAAATAACCCATACAGTTATTTGTCCAGTATGAAAAACAGTATGATTTGTCCAGACAACAGAATACTCAGCAATAAAAAGAAACTGGATCTTTGCAATAATAAGGATAAATCTCAATCATATGCTAAGTAGGAAAGGCCAGATTCAAAAGCAAAAATTAGAAAAGACAAAACTAGTGGGACAGAAAAAAGATCGGTGGTTTTCTGGGGCTAGGGGTAGGGGAAGGGATGACTACAAGTGACACAGGTCTTTTGAGTAATGAATGCTTCATTGTGGTACTGGTTACGTGATACTACACATTTGTCGAAACACAGAACTGTAAACTAAAGAGGGCAAGTTCTACTGTATAGAAATTAGGTCTTAATTTAAAAATGTTTAAAGTTCTAAGTAACCACCATGTGCTCCAGGCTGTGAGTCTAGACACTTGGGATGCAAATAGTAACTTCAACAAGCTTTCATGGACTTTCATGGATGGAAATTATTCATGCTCATTCACATGTATAATTCAAAGTTCCCTGTAGCATATTTTTTCAAAATGTACCTGGGCAAAAGGGAAGAATCAAACTCTGATTCAAGTAGATTCTAACCAGGATAGCACAAGTAGGGAGACCTATTCCTAAGCACTCAGCACAAGATTCTACAAGCATATAAAGTAAAACTTAATGTAGTGGGGGGAGTAAAGAAAATGGTAGTCAAGGCATTACACCCGGATCCCATTTTTAGCAAAATAAAAATCACCTATACTTTAATGAAACTGACTAGCAGGTAGTAGCTAACACTTAATGGAGCCTTTAGTCTGTAACTTAGCAGTGTACTAAAGGATTTATAAATAATTATCTCACTTAATCCTCTCAAAAGCTCTATGATGTATGTGGAATTTAAAAAGCAAAACAAATGAGCAAACTGGAAAAAAGGGACAAACCAAGAAACAGATACTTAACTAGAGACAACAAACTGATGGTTACCAGAGGGGAGCTGGGTGGCGGGATGGGTAAAATAGGGGATGGGGATTTAGAGTACACTCAGGATGAGTACTAAGTAACATATAAAAGTGCTGAATCACTCTACTGTACACCTGAAACTAATATAACTGTATGTTAACCATACTGAAATTAAAATAAAAAAACAATCTAAGAGATCTACGATGACTGTAGTGATTTTAAAATCTGTCCACAAATTCTCTGACACTTTTCCTTTCAAGAGATGGAGCCTAAATTTCTCTCCCCTTGAGTATAGGCCAGGCTTAATGATGTGCTTCTAATGAACAGAAGCAAAAATGATGGTATGCAACTTTGAGACGAAGCCCTAAAGTACTGCCTTGCTCCTCCCCTCCCCACCCACCAACTCAGTCTGAGGGAAGTCAGCTGCCAGGTGGTGAGGGCACTCTAGCAGCCTGCGGAGAGTCCTCTTGAAGCTTCTTGCCAAGAACCGGCCAAGAGCTAAAGCCTTCTGCCAGCAGCAGTGTGAGACAGCTGTCTTGAAAACAGATTTTCCGGCCCAGTCAAGCCTTCAGATGGCTGTAGCCACATGGGAAATCCTGAGCCAGGACTCCCAGCTAAGCTCCTCCTGAATTCCTGACCTCAGAAATTGTGAGATGTTTGTTACCCTAAACCATTAAGTTTGGGGACAATTTATGATGCAATGTGCTTTATTTATTACACCCCTATACCCATGAGAACACAGAGGTCCTAAAAGGCCCAGCCCCTTGTCAAAGTTCACAAAGCTGATAACAGTTTTAGAGCTGGGTTCAGAGACTATGACTCAAGGCCCACACTGTGAATTAGCATGTGGGTAACCATTATTGACAACAACCAAACCCACCATACATATAGGTTTTTAAATTTAACTTGCTCCTACTAGCATTATCATATGGTAATTAAGTTTAACTATAAACTTCACAGTCAGCAACTTACCCACTACAATAAAGTTTCCACACTTAGATACACATGCTGAGGATTCGATTCGACCTCCCAAAATTTGTTCCCATTTCACCTTCCCGGAGTAAAGGTCAACTGCCATCATTCTGTGAGAATGGGAGCCAATGTACACAGTCGCAGAGGACTTATCAGCAACTGAGATGACGACCAGAGGGGAGGCATCCACACATTTGCCTGTGTCCGTCCTCCACCTCACATGGAGCTCCATTTTCTTGGCTGCCATCACAGATGTTCCCTCATCAGAAACCTTTGCAACACAGAATAGATCTTTTGACTTATCAATAAGAGCTGGAGGATTTAAGCTTGTCACATTTTGAATATTAGTCTGTGAAATTAAATCAGAAGAATAGGCTGAAGAGCCAAGTCCTAACTTAGTTAAAAACTCCGAATTCAGAGACAAAATCTGACTCCCTCTGCTCACTGCAATAAAAGCAGCTAGCTCACTGTCACAACTTAAAGTCAGGACAGATTTCTGATGTAAAGATTTTCCACTGGTTTCCTCTTGATTAATGTCGCTGAATTTTCTTTTTGTGGCATAATTCGTGCTAAATAGCAGATCTTCATCTGGAAACACTGCTTGAAGGACATGATTGTAAATTTCTAAAATGGAACTGCTAAGAATAATTTCCAGAAGCCCAGGTACTAATGTGCCAACTAGTTTTTCAATCTCGTTGAGGAGCCGTATGGACTTTAAGGAATCTCCACCACTTGGTAAGAAGAGTGACTCATCAGGTACCTTCAAAGGATGTTCTGGGAGACTCAGAATAGACTACAGATGAGAAAAGGGAGAAATATGGTAAAGTCAAGGCCTAAAACCAAAACAATTCAACCAATTTATAGGTAATATATAAAGAATAGTACTTACATTAGTGATACAAAAGACACACAAAACAAATATTTTTAATAATTAAATTTTTAAATTATTTTCTTTATAGTAAAGGGAACCATCACTATGCCACCAATTTTGTCACAAACTCACTATAAAACTGCAAATTATATTTCCCCTTAGAGTGATACCCATAAAATAAGGCCTAGAATTATACAAACATGACTTAATAATTATAAAGTCCACAAGATAACTAACGTCTGATATTTCTATAATATTGGAATAATCTTTGTCTTTTTTCATTTGCTTCATATAAATCAAAATTATTTTCTAAGAATCTAAGAATGAAGCAAATAAGAATTTTATCTGGATATCCTTTATTTTCAAACATATATAATTACATCTTCTTTTCAGAACCCTTCAGAAAACTCTACACTTTAAGAAAAATTGTACTGGCCTATGGTTGTAATATGTGTATGTTTCAAAATAAATTTTTAAATTGTTTGTGCGTCCTCCCCACCCCCCAACACACACAGAGTCCCCAACTTACAATGATTTAAGATTTTGTAACTTTACAATGATGTGAAAACAATACACATTCGAGGGAAACTATACTTCAAATTCTGATCTTTTCCCAAACAACATGCACTATCTCATGATGCCGGGCAGCAGCTAAGAGCCACACTCCCAGTCAGCCAAGTGATCACAAGAGTAAACAACTGATACACTTATAACTAACCTATACCCACACAACCATTCTGTTTTTCACTTTCAGTACAGTATTCAATAACTTACATGTAAGATACTCAACAATTTATTATAAATAAGCTTTGTGTCAGATGTTGGCCAACTGTAGGCTAATATAAGTGTTCTGAGCACAATTAAGGTAGGCTAGACTAAGCTATGATCTTCGGTAGGTGTATTAAATGCATTTTGACTCAGGAAAATTTCAACTTATAATAGGTTTATCACCATGTAACCCCATCATAATTTGAGGAAGATCTGTATATACAAATTCCATCAAGCAGAAACATACATGTTGTTACTGTTCTTCAGGAATAATGACATAAGTCTGTAAGCCACAGATTGTAGTATATCAAGATTTGGCCATTTGCTGGCCAAACTCTGACAAGCACTGCACTCCACTGCTCCATTAGGGGAAAGTTATGTCGGATAGGTCTTGTCTTCCTGTGCCTTTTATGTCTACCTCACTTCCAATAAATTTCCTTATGGGGAGGGAGTTTGATCTTATACTAGAGAACCTAACTCTTAATTTAATACAAACTAAATAAACAAAAGTATATTACTTAACATTTGGGCATTAATAACATTCTTAGAAATGTTTATCAGATTTATTAGGATGCTAACATTCTCAAAAAATATAACATGACCTCTTCAGAATAACAAATTTATATCTTAAAAACTGTACCATGGGGCGCCTGGGTAGCTAAGCATCTGACTTCACCTCGGGTTATGATCTCATAGTTCGTGAGTTCAAGCCCCACAACAGGCTCTCTGCATGGAGCCTCCTTTGGATCCTCTGTCTCCCTCTCTCTCTGCCCTTCTCCCACTTAGGTGCTCTCATGCACAAGCATGTGCGTTCCAAAAATTTAAGGGGCACCTAGGTGGCTCAGTTGGTTAAGCAGCTGACTTCAGCTCAGATCATGATCTCATAGCTTGTTTTGAGCCCCGCATGGGTCTCTGTGCTGTCAGCTCAGAGCCTGGAGACTGCTCCAGATTCTGTGTCTCCCTCTCTCTGTCCCTCCCTCACTCATGCTCTCTCTCTCAAAAATAAACACTTAAAAATTTTTTAAAAGTAAACATTTAAAAAAATAAAGTTGTACCTTCCACAAATGCTGTAATTTTTCCCAAAGTTCCTCTTTTCCACTGAGTTTACACTCAGACTTCAAGTTTATATAGTTTAAATATATCTTGTTTAACTCAGAAACATCAACTTTGCCTTAAAAGAGAAATAATTTTAAAATTTCAGCACAAACCCTATCTTCATTAGTTATAAGAATACATACATTTTTCACTGTAAAAGTTAGAATTCCTATAGAATAGTTTGTAAAAGGAAAATTAATTGTAAAGAAAGCATTCCCATGCTATCAAAAATGTAGTGGGTAACAGAGAAGAAAAGAAGAAAGGAGGAGCTAATGTTTATCCTATTTAAAGAGTTAAAGAAATGGTCCTACCAACCACGCAATTACTGCATTTTGATGTAAATATTAGATAAAGATGAAATTGTGGTCATTAAGAGCATATGTTTTGAAATTAAAGAGTCTTAGAATTTCAACTCTAACACTAACCAGTAATATAATTTTGCCAAAATTACTTAACCTCTGTAAGCCTTATTTTCCTTGTCTGTAAATGGGAATAATACAGCCTACTCACAGGATTTTCTAGAGATAAATAAAGTGGGTTAATTATATAAAGCACTTAACAGAGGGTCTACCACAATATAGCTAGTATTACTTAGAATAAGAATTAAGAAGCCTTTAAACTAGTTATGAATACAATTAGTATTCATTTGGCACTGAAACACATCTGCTTCAAATGATTTTACCATGAGATGTAAATGGTAGAGAATCAATCAACACAAGTTCATCTGGGATTGCATGGCTTGGAAGATGTTCCTGCAGTTCTTTAAAGATGTCTTCCTTTACTACATCATTTTTGGACACCATGAACAGAATTAATTTTTCCTGATTATACCATGTAACTGCACAGGACTCCACTTGCTGAAGCCCTTCAGCAACCTATGAAAGAGATTATCCCAATTTGTCAGTGGACATTTAAAAGGAAACTCCCTAAATGCTCAAACTTCTTATGTCTGAAATCAACAGAAATTAAATTGTAAAATAGCTAGAGACTTTTAAAAAATTGATTGCTACTGTTACTATTACCAGCACACTGGGTTCTTAATGTTTTTCAAAATGATAGCTCCCAGAGCAAAGTAAACCATTATTTTCAGTTGTCGAAATCCATTCTGTCAGTTATTTTAAAAATAACTATCTCTTCATGCTGGGAATAAGGGCCACACTGAATTAGCCACACCTTTTTACTGCAATTCATTATTAATACAAAAATCTTAGGTGTAAATAGAGAACCCTGACACAGAAAATTGGTGGTGGCTACCTCCAATACCTACATATGTTAGTAGATACTTAATATTTAAATAGGCTTACTTGTTGCACAAGTTCAATGTTAAGACGTTTGCCATATCGTTTGATCTGACTGTCCTTTCGTCCCAAGAAAAACATCTCTCCATCTTTCACCACCACCAAGTCTCCTGTGGCTCGCAGTGTGCCAAGCGGTACTATCATTTCGTCATCAAGAAAACATACTCTGTTTTTGCCACCTTCACAAGATATAAACACCAATGTAATAAAAAAAATAGCCATGGAAGATATATTAAACACCATCAAATCAAGAACATCTTCAAAAGCTGTTACTGAGTTTCACATTTTGAATATTTACATTAGCAGCACTTTTAAATGTCACCTGACAAAATTAAATACAATAACCTCAGCAAAATAAGAGATAAAATTTCTGAAATTATATATGTGACTAAAAAAATTCTTAGAATACTGATTAAAGAGAATTTTAGCTGTAAATATAAAGATCCAAGTTACACTTTCTAAATTACTTTTATATCTTCCCTAAAGAATTAGACAATGTTATATGAAATAATTATGATAACATTAAATGTTTCATGGCTGTGAGGATGAGATTAAAAATTATCATCACTGAAAAGAATACTGGACATAAAACATATTGATGAAAGAATAAAGTGATCAGATTTCTTTCCTGAAAAAAAATATTCCCAATCAATAAATGTAAAACAACCTAAAAATACTTGGCCATTGCCTTCTTGAATTGTGAAACCATTAGTATCTCTGACTTCAACTACTGTTCCAAGCAGTGGAAATCCCAGTGGTACAGGCAATTCACATCTATGAAAACACAACAACCCAAACCACATTTAAATTTTTCATCTGAATAGAATATTTTCCAATGTACTTAAATCACATTGTACCAAATTAAAAAAAAAAAAAAAAAGAAAAGGTTTTGGTTATGTTAGAATTCAAAGACTGCCAAAAGGGAAAGATTAGGTGGAAAGGTTATCATAGGTTATTTATTGCTGTTTAGTCAGAAAAAGTTCTAGCAGGATCTGCAGTACTACTTATAGAAAGGTTCTGGATCTCCAGCTTAAAATTCTAGATAAAACAGTGTTTCTAAAATTATTATCCTAGTGATTACCAAAAACATTATTAGTGTTAAGATACTGGAAAAATACAGTTTCTCTGTAGCCTATTTAGTAATTGAAGCTCTTACTTCAAAGTAGAATTAAAAACCTTCTCTGGAATCTTGTAAAAAGTTGCCCAACTCGATACCTCTGTGATACCATAAATATTAAATATTTGTGTTTTATTGCCTACTCCTCTCCAGCTTTTGAGAACAGTCAATGATGGAAATGCTTCACCACCAAGGGCTAATACTCGAAGAGAAGTACTGGCTGATAGAACAGTTGACTTGATAAGCTGAGATCCAAATCTTCTAAGCAATGTTGGTGTTGCCTGTGAATACATTAAAGATAATTTATTTCCTTTCACTTCTTAAAAAAAAGTAAATACTGTAATAATTAGTTCAAAGCTTAACATTGGACACCTACATGGAAATTAAGGCTGTGTTTATTAAATTATAAATCATTTTGGAAAACTACTCAGGCAACATTATCTTCTTAATGTGCTATCAATTTTGCTTTAGTAAAAAAACTTAAGAAAAATATTAGTGATGTTTAATTAGTTAGACAAAATGGTTTAAAGATAAAAAGGACAAAATTTATAAAATCAATTCACATCTCCTTTCCTATTATCTATATGTAGAAAAATGTATTAAAGGTTAAAAATATGTTCCTAGAACAAAATGGTATGAATAAAGACCTTTAAAAATAGTTTTACTGAGGTATAATATAACTGACGTACAATAAACTATACACATTTAAAGCATACAATATAAATTGAGATAATATAGATATGTCAGTGAAACTATCACCACAACCCAAAAAATTAATATATTCTTCAGCCCTAAAATTACCTTCTGCCAACTTGTTGTATACTCACATGGTGGAAGAGACATTAGGATTTTAATAAATGAATAGGGAGGTGGGAGGACAAACACTCAGACCATGGGACTTTTCATTGCTGAGTGGTACTCCACTGCAAAGATCAGGACTAGTATTTGCATTTCCACATAAAATTCAGGATAAATTTGTCAATTTCTATGAAAAAAAGTCTACTAAGATTTTGATAGGAACTATGTTTAATCTTGACACTATTGAGACTTTAATCTATAAATATGAAGTGTCTCTTTATTTGGCTCTTTAACTTCTACCAATAATGTTCTGGGGTTTTTTTTTTTTCTTTATTGCACAGGCTAGAATCAGAATAATGTTGAAGAGAAGTGACAAAAGCAAACATCCTTGTTTTGTTTCCAATCTTTGGGTAAAATCATGCAGTCTTTCACCAAACAGGATATTAGCTGTAGTTATTTATTTTTTTTATAGATGCCCTTCATCATGTTAGGGAAGTTCTTCAATTCCTAAAGGTTTTTTCTTAATTCCAAGTGTTAGATTTTGCCGAATATTTTGTCTGCATCTGTTGAGGTAATTACATACTCTTATTTATGTAATGTATATTATCAATGAATTTTTAAGTATATTAATTTTGAGAGAGAGAGAGAGTGCAAGACAGCATGAGGGGAGCAAAGGAAGAGAGAAGAGAGAATTCCAAGCAGGTTCCCCACTGTGAGCACAAGGCCCAATGCAAAGTTCAAACTCCTGAACCATGAGATCATGACCCTAGCTGAAATTAAGAGTCAGACACTTAACCAACTGAGCAACCTGGGTGCCCCATCAGTGGATTTTTAGATGCTAAACCAAATGTGCATTCCTGGGATACATTCCACTTGCTCTCATTTTAAATTTACTGAAACTGGTTTTGTAGTTGAGAATATGATCTATCAATGTGCTTGAAAAGAATGTATTCTGCATTTGTTGGAGTGTTCTATAAATGGGATTTGGTTGATAATTTTGTTCAAGTCTTCTATATTATATGTTCTGATTTCTGTCTAGTTTTTCATTCAGTTGTTAAAAGTGGGGTATTAAAAGTTTGAACCTTTGGGTTTAGTTCTCATTTCAATTCTATTTTTGCTTTATGTATTTGGAACTTCTATTTTAGGGGGATATAAGGTTATATCTTCTTGATTTAACAATGTACTGACCATTTTATCATTATGAAATGTTTTTGTTGCTTGTTTCTTTGTTACTAACTAGCCTTAGCTAAATCTAAAATCTGTCTTTCCAGTGATGTGTGGCCGCTAAGGTCATGGCTCAGTTTTAAATATAAAGTCTTACTTTCATTTTTGTATCTTACTTCCTATGGGTCACCCTTGTGTGTGCATAGCTCAGTAGTCGAGCAATGACTGGACAAACTGTCCACCGAGATGGATCTGTAGGGATAGAGGAGCTCAAAGTTTAGGCCATTTGCAAGCTTAATCCAGCTTTTATTTTCTGTGGGCCCGTTTGGGTCTCCAATGTATATGCACACAACCTCAAGTTCAGCCAAGAATCTGCTTGGGCCCTATGGACTCCGACTCACAAATGCAGCCTTAGCCAGAATGTGCTTGCCCTCCCTTCCACCACAACCTCAGACTTTTGGAGGTTTTGGCCCTCTATGCTGGCCCACTTCATCATTTCCACAGTGTTGTTGGACATGGATATAATCTACCATTCCAAATTGAATAAACTCCCTTATGAGCAGCAGACCCTGACAGAAAAATCTGTTTTGATTGAGTTGGGGCCAGCAGGGAGAGCAGCTGCTCAGTCTAGAATGCCACAAATTCCCGTTATTTTTATGCAAAATTCAAGTTTTTAAAAACAAACACTTTTTAGACAGTTGTATGCCTTTGGTTGATTTCTAAAGTACTGAAGTAGTTGCTTTTGTCAATTTTGTCCAGCTTTATAGTTGCTTTTTGGGGAGAGGATCTGCCAATCTCTTTATCTGACCACAGAAAAGTTCCATGTGAATCAAGATTTTTAAATGGTTTCTTTGAGTAAAAGCTAGACCCAGCCTCAGTGGACAATTTGAATTTTAATTCAAATAAATGACTTAAAGTCTTAGTTTGTCAAAATATTTATCCCCGTATGAACTTATTGTTCCAGGTTCTTGTCTAGGAATTTAGCACCTCCATTCAGTCTCAAGATTCAGGGTTTTGGGTAATAAATTATAGTGGCCACCTATTTATAAGGTATCCTAAATCAAATGAACTGTTCCACCAAGTTTTACGATAACAAAAATCTCTTGTCAAAATGAAATGTTCTGGCTTTTAATTTCCGATGCTAAAAACTTTAACTTTGAATTATACAAATAAATGCACAGCTATGAATATTCAGCAAGATAAAGCATAGTAACACTTTTCAGATACTCAAACTGAAATGATAAATTTAGTGTCAGAATACTAGTCAATATACGTACTTTGTTACCATAGCATCTTAGGCACACAGAAATAGGATTTAGGTAATAACAGAAAAAAAAAAAAAAAAAAAAAAAAAAAAAAAAAAAAAAAAAAAAAAAAAAAAAAAAAAAAAAAAAAAAAACAAGGAATATTAAGGTTCCTTGCAAAATTTCCAAGAGAAAATTCTTATAAAAATGAAAAACACAGGGTGCCTAAGTGGTTCAGTCCATTAAGCATCTGACTCTTGATTTCGGCTCAGGTCATGATCTCCCAGACTGGAGATAGAGCTCCAAGTTGGGCTCCGAGCTGGGTGTGGAGTCTGCTTGAGAGTCTCCCTCTCCCTCCCCCTACCCCACCCCCCATGCACACACACTCTCTCAAAGACAAAAGACAACACTATTATGCTCACATTTTGGTGGTTAGCAACCTAAGATTTTGCTCTAATTAAATGGTTTTATTTTTAAAATGCATCAAGTCTAACAACTTTGTTAAAAAAAAAAAAAAAAAAAAAAAAAAAAAAAAAAAAGTGCAAATGTATTTTAGGTTTGTAAAACACCAAAGAGTGGACTTTTCTTTCCAAAAGGTCCTTATTCCTGAAACAAAATTACCTCAAAAGCTAAGTCTGTTTCACTTTGGGGTCTTTCTCCCCCACAATAAAGGTATTCCACTTCAAATTTTTTAAACTTTATGGGGTGCCTGGGTGGCTCAGTTGGTTAAGTGTCCAACTTTGGCTCAGGTCATGATCTCGTGGTTCATGGGTTTGAGCTTCACATCAGGCTCTGTGCTGATAGCTCAGAGCCGGCAACCTGCTTCAGATTCTATATCTCCCTCTTTCTGCCTCTCTCTCCCCTGCTCATGTGCGCACATGCTCTCTCTCTCTCTCTCTCTCTCTCTCTCTCTCTCTCTCAAGAATAAACATTAAAAAAATTAAATTAGGTTTTTAGGTATTTATTTTGTAAATAAAATCTATACAGGATGCTCCTTTTTAAAGTGTATATTATATACATAAGCAAAAATCCTTGATGCCTTATATATCATTTGATGAGAAATTTGACTTTGGAAGGAAAAGATGAACCCTAACAACAAAGCTACAATTCACTATGAGACATGCAAGACAGCGGACCATACTGAATCCATCTGTAGCACTCCATCTTATTCATGTTTGCTGGATGACTTCCTGTGGGGCTATGTGGTGCAGGCCCTCTGGAGATTATTATCTGTACCTTAGAAATGCCTGCCAAGGTCAGAACTGAGGGGGAAGGGAGAAACTTGCTTTGGCCCTCCATAAATTTGCTCAAGATAATGTAGTCTCTCTCCCCTTCCTGAGGCACAGATAGTGCCATACGATCTAAGTAAAGATTAGCTGCCAGTTAGGTACACATAGACCCTTTGTTCTTACTAGAGTGCCATGTCCTATACATCCTTTGGTCTATAAAATCTGTAGACTAAGGTCCGTCTTGGCGGAGAATAGCTGCACACCTCTGCATCAACATTCAGCCAGTCCTATGTTACCATGCATAGCCAGTCTTATGTGTGGAGATGCCGGACTCATTTTTTGGTCTCAAAGTCCCCTCGCAGTTTGGAGGAAACTTTACAATTCCTCCTCCTCCGCCTTCTAACAAGACAGGACATGTCTTATACAAAGGAAAGGACATCCTGTCAGCTTGTATACTTCTCTTCCTTACTCAAACTCAAAATGATCTGCTGATAATACCCCAAATTAAGAATCGTGAGTTAAATAAAATCACTGTGAATATATGCACAACTTGCTGTGTTCTGGAAGCAGAGTTAGTAAATGTATATCAGTTTCTCAGGATTTATGATCCCAAAAAGGTCAAAACCACTGCCAGAGTAAATTTAACTGAAACTGTGCTAAAGGGGATTGGATTTAAAGAGATAAAACTCCCATGACCCTACATAGAAGGAAAGTCTCCCTGTTTAGTAATTCTCTCTAAAATCTATTAAGGTACTTTGAAAAGGTTTCCTGAAAATTATGCTCCTTGAATTTTGTAGAAAAACAGGTTATATTAAAGTCCTGCCCAGACTTACAGAATGATTCACCATAGATGAGAATTTATATGGATTTGATATACCCAGAAAGCCACATTACTATATTCATTTTATACATATTCGTAAATATATATATTTTTAAGGATGAAAAACATTGCCTAAAAACAAAGTGAATATCAAATTTTGCCTTTAGGGTAGAAATTTAACATCCTTGAGTCTCTTACACTAAATATAAACCTGATATTTTTAGTTTATCATGATATGCATACAATTTTATTAATTCCCTCTAGTATCTTTAATCATTTGCAATGTAATTATCTTAAGGCTTGTATACCAGTCACCTACTTTGATACATATTTTTTAAATCTTTTTTTTTAATAGTTTTTTTTTTTTTTTTTTTTTTCTAGGAGAGAGAGAGACAGCGTGAACAGGGGAGGGTCAGAGAGAGAGGGAGTCACAGACTGAAGCAGGCTCCAGGCTCTGAGCTGGCAGTCAGCACAGAACCCGACGCGGGGCTCGAACCCACGAACCGCGAGATCATGACCTAAGCGAAAGTCGGACGCTTAACCGACTAAGCCACCCAGGCGCCCCCATATTTTTTAAATCTTTAAAGATGACAAACTATTTGCTTCTGTAAGTTAATGTAAAATACACTAATATAAAAAGACAGAAAATCTAAATTCCTACCTAATTATAACTTAAAGTTTATGTTTTCTACTAAAAGCTAAAGTTTAAGACAGGAGAGGCAAGCATATCCCAACAGATTTGAGTGAAGATCAACTTCCTCTAGCTATTACTATGCAAAATGCATGGTGAAATAATTTTTTAGGCAGAATTAACTGATTTCCCCCCATTCTCAAGCAAATTAGGTGAATCATCAGGAAACAATCTTTAATAATCTAACTGGATTATCATTAGTTTACTGTAAAACAAAACAAAACAAAAAAACCCTACAGGAATACAAAATATTCTCTAAAACATGTAAAATGTTAAATAATAGAGGCGCCCGGGTGGCTCAGTTAAATGTCTTGACTTCAGTTCAGCTCAGGTCATGATCTCACCATTTGTGAGTTGGAGTCCTGCACATGGCTCTGTGCTGACAGCTCAGTTGGGAGAGCCTGGAGCCTGCTTCGGATTCTGTGTCCCCGTTTCTCTCTGCCCCTACCCAACTCATGCTCTTTCTTTCTCTCAAGAATAAATAAAACGTTAAAAATTTTTTTAAATAAAATGTTAAATAAAAGACAAAACATTTCATTTGCCCCTAAAATGTACCTGCAAAATAGTTACTCTGTGATGTGAAAAGAGAACAGCAGCTAACTTTGATGGAAGCACTTTGACAGAAGTTGGTACAATAAGCAGACGGGCACCACTGGATAGAGCAACAAATATTTCCACAACGGAAGGATCAAAGGTCAGAGGTGAGGCCAGAAACAAAACATCTTCTTGTGTGATCTTGAAAAGTAGCCTAAGGCAAAACAGAACAGTTACATGAAATGTCTAACATTTGGTAAACACATATCCTAAAAAATGATTTATGACCATTAAGTTTCTGGCTGTTGGCCAGATTTTTATTGTTTTCTCAGATTAACCAAAATGGTACTATTAATCCTAGAACTCTTTAAAATTTAAGGATTAAAAGCCATTTAAAACAATATCTACTTCTTAACATGACATATTTATCATCTGTGATGGTATGCTGATGTGTCAGTGTGGCTGGATTGAACCACAGTCCTTAGTTCCTTTAGGGAACCAAAAAGGGATATTCTCTCTTCTATTGTATTATGATATCTCTTATATCATATTATATATGATATATAATGATGTATGATATATACATGATAGATGATATATATCTTATATCATATCTTATATATATGAATATCTTACACACACACACATATATGCTAGATGACAGAAGAGAGGTGGGTGCCATTTAGTAGCACACATACCTCCCTGTTATTTCATCAAACACTAATCTAGGTGCTGCTGTGAAGGGATTTTGTAGATATGGAATCTCTGATTAGCTGACTTTAATGAAAAGGGAGATTTATTCTGGCTTGGCTCGATTTACTCAACTGGAAGACCTTTAGAAGAGTATTGAGGCCTTCTGTAAAAAAGACTCAACATCTGGGTCTACAATTACTCTCCCTTACCCCGGGATCTTCTTTCTTGACTTGCCTGTGGAAAAAAGCACATGCCTATGGATTTCCAGGCTGCTCATGATCATCCCTTTCTGTTTACACTCTAGATTCAGTCTTGCTTAGCAGCCCCTACAAACATAAGCCAATCCTTATAGTAAGTCCCTGATATATCTTCCTAGTTCTGTTCTTCTGGTAAAATATTGACTATCCTTATTGATTTAATGATGCTTAATAGAGACCTCTGACTCCCTTTTCCCACTATTTGACATTTTTCTCTCAGAAGCTAAACAAAGAGCAAAATATATATAGTTAGGATATTACAGAGCATAGATAGTCAGCAGTGAGCCTATGGCATTGCTTCATTCTGAACACACAGAACTCTGTCTAAAAAGCAGGGATTACCTTAATTTCACAATATCTTCAAATATGATATTGTGGGGACTCACTCAGAACCCCAGAGTTGGTATGAAGATTACTTTAGGCTGAAGACATTTTGGATTTAACAGATGCAGAAAGAAGCCTTGTTAGACCTTTCCTTATCTAATTGCAAAAACGTCTGGGAAATGAAGTTACCATAAATTCTTTCTTTGGAGTAGCTTTTATTCCCAGAAAGGAAACCAAGAGTGAACCTACTATAAATCCCTTCTGTAAGTTACTTTTATGGCCCTGAAAATAAACCAAAAAGGGATTTTTAACAGGTAAGTAGATTTCATTAAGTTCAAACATAAATAGCAATGGAGAAATTCATATATATATATATATATTAATGTTTATCTATTTTTGAGAGAGAGAGAGAGAGAACAAGCAAGGGAGGGGCTGGGAGAGAGGGGGACAGAGGATCTGAAGAAGGCTCTGTGCAGACAGCAGAGTCTGATGTAAGGCTTGGCTCATGAACTACAAGATCATGACTGAGCCAAAGCCAGGCACCCAAATGACTGAGCCACCCAAGGGTCCCTAGAAATTCATATACTTAAAATCAGCCCCTTACCCCTCACTAGCAAATACTTGCTCCCACTTTACACACAATACCTACCTCTGCTGGCCCAGTGCCTCTTCCCACCTCCACCAGATTCCAAATCTGCTTCATTCTTTTCAAGTTTCCTACATCTCCAACCCACCTCACCTCTCATGTTCTTAGTGTATTACTTTGCCCTTCATCTAATAGGAAAGTTACAATCTCAGCTTCTGAACATTCCTTACCCTTCCATCTCAAAGTATCCTACTCCTTTACAATACTATTGCTTGATTTTTCAACCCAACTCTCCCTACCAACTCTCTACCATCAGCTCATAAACGTCTCCCATCTCAAAAATAAATCTATAGCCCCCACCCCCAGAATTTTCTTTCCCATTAAAACTTCTAGAAATGAAAACTTTACTTTTTGTCTCCATTTCCTTATCTCTCATTCCTTTATCCCCAGCCTAATGTAATCTGTCCGCAGTCTTGGGCACTCAAAAATAAAGTCACTAAAGACTAGATTGTCAATTATAAGACACCTCTCTGCATCATTTCACCATTCCTTTCTTCTAGACCTGCACCATCCAATATGGTAGCCACTAGAAATATGTGCCTACTGAGCACTAAAAATGTGGCTAATCCATATTGAGAGGTAGAAGTGTAAAATACAAGCTAGATTTAAGATAAGAATAAATGCATATAATACTTCACTAATTTTCATATTGATTACATATTGAAATATTTTAGATATACTGAATTAAATGTTAAATTTTTTATTTCTTTGTACTCTTTAAGATGTGGTTAGAAATTTTTTAATTATATAAAACTTACGACATAAAAATATATATTTGTCTCACAAAGTTTCTATTTCTATATTTGTTTCTGTTTCCTCTTTTGATTTCCTAAGATTACTCCCTTTTGGTTCCCTTCCTTGTCTATTTCCTTCTTTCTTGTCAAGTTAAGAATCAATTTCATAGAGATTTCTCATCTCCTGACCACAAGAACAAACCAAACTCTACAATGCTATAGGAATGAACTTAATGAAATGCAAATATTTTTATACCTACTGGACTAAGTTCAAAATTCTTCAACAGGGCATACCAGGCTCCTGCCCCCTCAGGTCACATGGCTCCTGCCCTCCGACTCTTTCCTCTGCTCTGCCCTGATATACTCTCTCAAGCCAAACTCTTGCTTTCCCCCATTTCTCTGCTGTACCTCTGCCAGGAAAACACTTCCTTCTTATTAATAATTAAGATGCAAAGCTTCTAAGCATATCATTTATTTGCTCTCTGCCTGGCTCCAGGTCTTGATCAGAGAGGTGAAGCCCCAGCCTGAAGATAACTAAAGTTCAGATATAGCCAAAACAAGAGAGCCAATTACTTATGACTATCAATTTAGGAACAAGAGTTATGAAGAACATACATTAAAAATATTTTGCCCTTGGGGTACTAGGCTAGCTCAGTCAGCAGGGCATGCAACTCTTGATCTTGGAGTCATGAGTTAGAGCCCCATATCAGGAGAATTCACTTAAAACTTTTTTCATTTTAAAATACAAGTTTTGAAAAAAGATTCAAAAGACAGAACTCACCGAAAATGTTGGATATTTGGCACTATACATGCATGAGGGACTCTGACAATCTTAGGTATCCCCGTAGTGCCTGATGTATGGAGAACATAGGCCAAGCAATGCTTAAGCCTCACATCCATGTGCTCTTCTGACTTTTCTTCATTGCTGTGCTCAGAATTTGTGCTATTTGTCATTTTTCCTTCTTCATATTTCTGTTTTCAGTCATTTAACATCAAGCTCACTTCAATATTTTCCCAGTGAAGCCTGAAGAGTACTAAGTCATTATGTTCTGTAAGTGTATCATAATTCAATAATGTTTCATAGGAAGATTTGAATTTCTGTTACATGGGGGAACAAAGTCCACAATATTAATGTTAAAAGACATTTTTAACATAGAAGTAATATGAAATATTCACTCATTCAACATTGTTTTGAGTACTTGCTATATAACCAGGGCTTAAAAAAAAAGAAATTAAAAACTTTCAAGAATAAAGTGCTGTCCTTACTTTCAAAGTCACCTTCAAAATAGACATAAAAACATTCAACTGCAGGGCAATGTGGTAACTGACCATGAATATGCTTGAAATGTTAATCGGAACATAGGAGATTAAATTTAACTCTGCCTGGAAGACCTGAGATTGCTTCATCATATGTAATATTTATGTTATAAGTAGCTTTGTCTAAATAAAGAGGCATACTTTATTGGGCAAATAGCTAATGCAGAATATATGACCTGAGACAGCTAGTGTTGTGGAGAACTTTGAGCATTCCAGAAAGTTGAAGAATTGGGGGAGAGGGAAAAGACACATAGTTAAGAGGAAAGGAGAGGCTATCCTTAATAAATCTATAAGGGGTTTAGACCTTAACCTATAAGCAAAGAGATTTAACTGAAGGTGGCAAGGATAGACTAATAAGTTACACTTTTGGTAAGTGAGGGTTTTCTAATGAACCTTTTGCAACAATTGAGATATGCTATATGGGCCTGAACTAGTCTGTTGAAACAAGAGCAGACAGAAAGGGCCTATGAGCAAGAATCAATAGGGCTGGCTAACTTTCTGGATACAGAGTGAGCCTAAGAAGATTATGAGTTTCTGGCTCACGTATTTGGTAGATGGAGACAGATTAATATAGATTTATTTAATTTGGATAAAAAGATATTAAATTCAATTTTTACATGCTAAAAGTGAGGTTCCTTTGAATATACCTTTTAGGATTGATAAAAAGAAGTTTAATGAAACATAAGTTTTCACATTAATTATTATAAATGAAAGAAAAATAAGAGGAGAGAAATGAGAACAAGGTCACAATGCAGGAGCCTATAGGGCTTTATTTGATTGTGGTGTATGTATTAGGGGTCAGGTGTGGTGTGGACTATAATATTAAAAAAATTAAGGACCTATAATATGTATTTTTAACACTTAGTTCAAAATCATCTTTTGCCATTAACTTTACTTATCTCTACTAGGTTACATTTATTACCCTTAGGGTATCTCCACATTATGTAGAATTTATAGGTTCGAGATTATGATACTTTTCTCTCCAAACACAGTTGACTCCTGAACACAGGGGTTATAGAAGCACCAACCCTAAAATCCATGAATGACTTCTGACCTCCCTTTCCCAAACTTTACTAATAGCCTATAGTTGACCAGAAACCTTCCTGATGACAATCAATTAACTATACTCTGAATGTTACATATACTATATACAGTTTTCTTGGAATGATGTAAGTTAGACAAAAGATCATGTTCAGAAACTATACAGAAGATTCCCTAACCTGGAAAAGGAAAAAGATATCCAGGTTTAGGAAGCATAGAGAGTTCCAAACAAGGTGAACCCAAGGAGGTCCACACCACACCACATTAAAATGTCAAAGGTTAAAAGATACAGAAAAAATTTTATTATTAAAAAAAAAAAAATTTAAGGGGCGCCTGGGTGGCTTAGTCGGTTAAGCGTCCGATTTTCGCTTAGGTCATGATCTCGCGGTTCGTGGGTTCGAGCCCTGCGTCGGGCTCTGTGCTGACTGCCAGCTCAGAGCCTGGAGCCTGTTTCAGTCTGTGACTCCCTCTCTCTCTGACCCTCCCCTGCTCACGCTGTCTCTCTCTCTCCTAGAAATAAGTTAAAAAAAAATTTAAGAGATTTCAATTTAATTGAGAGAGACAAAGACAGTATGGGTGGGGAAGGGGCTGAGAGAAGGAGGCAGAGAATTCAAAGCAGGCTCTGTGCTGTTAGTGCAGAGCCCAATGTGGAGCTCAAACTCATGAATTATGAGATCCTGACCTGAGCTAAAACCAAGAGTCAGACGCTTAACTGACTGAGCCACTAAAGTGCTCCTAAAATCCTTTTTAATGCTTCAGAGGATTGGGGATGGAGGATGGGAGAAGGGAAAGGCAAAGAAAGAGGAAGACATAAGATCCAAAGCAGGCTCTGTACTAATAGCAGGGAGTAGGATGCAGGGCTCAAACTCACGAGCCATGAGATCCTAACCAGAGCTAAAGTCAGATATTTAACAAACTAAACCACTCAGGCACAAAATACAGAAAGAATTTTAAAGTGGCAAGAAGCTAAAAGTTACATACAAGGGAAACCAAACCAATAAGGCTACCAGCTGATTTTTCAATAGAAACTTTGTAGGCCAGAAAGGACTGGCATTATGTATCCAAAGAGCTGAAAAGAAAAAGCCTATAATCAAAAATAGTCTACCCAGCAAGGTTATAATTCACAACTAAAGGAGAGATAGTGGCACCTGGGTGGATCAGTCAGTAAGCATTGGACTCTTGACTTCAGCTCAGGTCATAACCTCATGGTTTGTGAGTTTGAGACCTATATCAGGCTCTGCAGTATCAATCTGAGATTCTTGCTCTGCCCGTCCCTCACTGGTGCTCACACTCTCTAACTTAAAAATATAGATATATATTGGAGAGATAAAGAATTCCTCAAATAAAAGTTTAAAAAGCTCACCACTGAACCAACTTTATAAGAAATATTAATGTAAATTTAAGAAAAGAGGCCATAATTAGAAGAAAATTATCAATAAAGAGATGTAAAATATGACAACATATAAATAAAATATGGAGGGAGAATAAAAAAGTAGTTCTCTTAGAATATGTTTAAACTTAAGTAACCAACTTAATATAGACTGCTACATACTTAGGATGTTATATATAAACCTCATGGTAACCACAGATCTATAATATATACCAAAAATAAAGAGAAAAAGCCATGATAACACTAAATAAAATCAACAATCACAAGGAAAAAGATCAAGAGAAGGGAATAGCAAAGAACTATAAAAACAACCAGAAAACAAGATGGCATTAAGTACATTACTATTACTTGAAATGTAAATGGTCTAAATATGCTCCAATCAGAAGACACAGGATAATGGAATGGATTAAAAAAACAAAAAACAAAAACAAAACCCATCTATATGTTGCCTACAAGAGACTCCCTTCAGACCTAAAGATATGTACAGACTGAAAGTAAAAGAATGGAAAAAGATAGTCCATAAGTATTCCATAAGTGAAAGAAAAAAGCCAGGGTATTATCAGACAAAAGGACTTTATTATGTTTATTTATTTTTGAAAGATAGAGACAGAGCTCAAGCACGGGAGGGATACAGCAAGAGGCAGACACAGAATCCGATACAGGCTCCAGACTCTGAGCTGTCAGCATAGAACCAGATACTGGGCTTGAACTCACGAACATTTGAGACTGAGACTGAGCCAAAGTTGGATGCTTAACCGACTAAAGCCACCCAGGTGCCGCTAGACAAAATGACTTTTTTTTTTAATTTTTAAAATGTTTTTATTTATTTCTGAGAGAGAGAGAGAGAGGTAGCATGCACAGGGGAGGGTCAGAGAGAGATAGGGAGATACAGAATCTGAAGCAGTCTCCAGGCTCTGAGCTAGGTGTCAGCACAGAGCCCGATGCGGAGCTCGAACCCATGAACTGGGAGATCATGACCTGAGCAGAAGTCAGATGCCCCTGACAAAATGACTTTAAAACAAAGCCTGTAACAAGAGAATAAGAAGGGCATTACAGAATAAGAAGATCAATCCAACAAGAATATATAACCATTATAAAGATCTATGTACCCAATACTATAGCACCTAAATACATAAAGCAAAATTAACAGATATAAAAGGGAGAAATTTACAATATAATAGTGGGGACTTTAGAAAAAAATATTTGGGGAGAAAGCAAATGTGAGCAAGGGGAAGGACAAAGAGAGAGAGAGAATCCCAAGCAGGCTCTGAATTGATAGCCATGATGCAGGGCTCAGTCCCACAAACCGTGAGATCATGACCTGAGCCAAAATCAAGAATCAGATGCTTAACCAAATGAGACACCCAGGAGCCCCAATAGTGGGGACTTTAACACCTTACATCACTAGATAGATTGTTCAGACAGAAAATTAGGAAACCGTGGCTTTGAACACATTATACCAGATGGACTTAAATATATACAGAACATTCCATCCAATAATAGAATACACATTCCTTTCAAGTGCATATGGAACATTTTCTTGGATAGATCATGTTAGGCCACAAAATCAAGTCTCAATAATTTAAGAAGATTTAAATCCTATCAGGAGTCTTTTATTTTTTAATCACAATGGTATAAAACTAGAAATCAGGAAAAAAAAAACTGGAAAAACACAAACACTACAAGCTAAACATGCTATGATCAATGGTTCAACAAAGATATTAAAAAGAAAATTAAAAATTACATGAAGATAAATGAAAACAATAGTCCAAAGTCTTTGAGATGCACCAAAAGCAATTCTAAGAGAATTTACAGTGATACTGGATTACCTCAAGAAAGAAAAAGAACAAAACCCAAGGTTAGTAGATGGAAGGATATGATAAGATCAAAGCAGAAATAAATGAAATAGACTAAGGAGCAATAGAAAAGATCAATGAAACCAAGAGCCAGTTCTTTAAAAAGATAAAGTTGATAAACCTTTAGCCAGATCCCCCCCAAAAAAAGAGAGGACCCAAATAAAATAAAGAGAAGTAACAACCAATACCACAGAAATAAAAAGGATTATAAGAGACTACTATGAAAAATTATATGCCAACAAATAGGATAACCTAGTATAAATGGATAAATTCCTAGAAACATACAATCTTCCAAAACTGAATCAGGAAGAAATAGAAAGTCAGAATAGACCAATTACTAGTAACAAAATTGAACTGGTAATCCAAAAATTCTCAAACAAAAAGTCTAAGACAGGTGGATTCACTGGTGAATTATACCAAGCATTTAAAGAGGAGTTAATACCTGGGGCAGTGCCTGGTTACCAGTTGGTAGAGCATGTGACTCCTGATCTCAA